TTCGAGGTATCTTTAAATCCTCGAAGTCAAGCCTTGATAGACTTCGCAGTCGAACAAAGTTCTTCGACGCGCCAGAATCTACCAAAGCACGGAGAGAGCCGCTTGCTCTCATCGAGTTCACATCCAGGATGACAAGGTCAGGCTTGTCATCTTGGTTCTTGCAGTGAGAATGAACCTCACTGGGGACTGCAGTCCTCAGTGTCGCGTGTCCAAGGTCGACACGCGGAACTGCATTACCAGTAGGGCGCCCCGCGCCTACTGGCGTCCAGCGTTTTTTGTTTGGTTGCGACGGTGCCCGGTACCGCCGCGATAGCCACCCTGCTGGTGCACGGGGGCCGTGCACCCCCGAGCAAAGTGACCGACTCTACCGCAACGGTAGCATCGCACATTGTTTCCCTGCGACTGCTGGGGTCCAGCAGTTGCAGCACTCGAGAGGTCCATGGTTTCTGGGCCTCCCGTCCTCACTACCGGGCGTGGCTGGGGCCTCGGCACATGTGCATGCAGCTTAGCCTGCCGCAGGCTAAACTCCTCCTGCATTGCAAGAGTAATTGCAGCTTCGAGAGTACTCGGGTACTCACGGAAGAGATAGGTCTTCACAGGCCCATCTTTCAGCCCCTTCATGAACGTGACGACCTTGGTCGCCTCGTCGATCGGATTGGTCACGATGTTCGAGACCAAGTACCGTGCTATCTGAGCGTAAGCATGGACATCATGCTTGCCCTGCTGCAGGTCGAGGAACTCCGCCCTCGACCGGAACTCGTTTTGCGGGGGCTCAAACGCTTGTCTGAGCTCTTTCTTGAAACCCTCGTACGTGCTAAAGCACGTAAGATCCGAGAGTCGGCGTCCATACGCCCAACTTCTTGCACGTCCGCCAAGACATGACATGGCGAACGCGACCTTCGACAACGGGTCGACGATGCATCGAGCCGCAATGGCAGTGTCAAGTTCGACAAGCCAACGGAGGAGAGGCTCGCCCTCTCTTCCAACGTAATTGCTCACGCTGAGCTTCAGCGATTGCGCGCGCGGTGTCGTCCCCGACGACACCGTGGTAGACGAAGCAGCATCTCGCTGCTCCCTCATGATGAATCCCAGAGCAACACCATGTTGCTCTGTCGGCGTTAGCGTACGCAGCATCGTAGCTACAGCCGCCTCACCAATTACTGTTGACAGTCGTTGGAGAGCTTCCCACTCTGGGTCCGACAGGTGGGGACAGTCAGCGCGTGCAACGTGAGTTGCAGGCGTAGTGGAGTTTTCCATGGGCACCTCTGTATCCATGGGAAGGTTCTCAGTTCCGCGTTCGTGCGATGACGTACGAACTCAGGTAGTCGGTCGTTGGACGGACTACGAAGTGCTACCAGGTGTAGTGGGCCTACTTTGGCTCACTACTTTAGCTTACACCTGTGCGCGTGTATGTGAGGAAGCGTCGCTTAGTTTAACTAGAGTTAATTATACTCGGGCCTCCGAGTATAGATTAATCTAAATAAACGATCCAAATAATGTTTTTGGGTTAAAATGAGAACTGCTATTTTTGTTTTATGTTTCTGACTTCCTCTAAATGTAATATTCTAAGATAGGAATCTGCCAACGGCTGGTTGGCAGAATTCCAATGCTATGCATGTCGCTCATTGGCTAAGAGATGCTGCTCTCAGCCAATAAGAATCATAAGTCTCTATGGACCACCCGCCGTGGTGGTCGTAAATGTATGTAGCCTTTGGTGTGTCTACACCAAGGTCGAGAAAGTATTTCGAACCTCTAACAGACGTCGTGTCTGTTAGAGTTACAAGTGACTGTAGCCACTTGTGTGTGTAACCCTGTTACACTAACAATATCACGCTACTGACAGGTGTTCTGTCTCTTCCACAGCGATTAGGTGGTTTGAAGTGCGATGCTCATATCAAGAATGGGTGGTCCGGCTGAATTATCTGCGCGGGCAACAATGGTAACAGGGCTGCACGCTCTTGTCTCTTACTTTGACGGATATTCGGCAAGGTGGTTTGGTTATCGCCTCGAAGTCGATGCCGTGGGTCTTCGAGGGCCCTTTGTCAGCAGTTTCTCGCTTTTGAAACGGCGCATTTGGGAACTCAATGCTTGGAGTGGCTGCCGTATGTCTCTTTCAGAGATTTGTACATTTACACTGAAGATGATGTGCTTTTGAGTCCTAATTTGGAGTTAAGGTCCATTTGTGCCAAAGGGGTGCGTCTTCGGGATGTCATGCATTGGAAGATTCACGGGGGTGGCCAGCTGACGTTCTCAGCTTTATGTCCTCGCAAAGCTCGCACCCAGACTTTTCAAGCACACTTCGAACGCTTGGTGTATCTACTTATCTTGAATTATCCGAGACTGTTGTACAAACGCATCACGAACAACGAGGTGCGTTACCTCACGTCACCACCAGATCATCCATGTGTGACGGAGCTTCGCGCAGGTACCCCACCTGCGATTACAGTTCTGAATGGAACGGACATTGTGCTAGGGCGGACTGTGGCGAGCCAGCCGGACTTGGAGACACTCCTTCAGCGGACTCTGAAGGACTATGCTGTGGTGCACTATGTACATCCTCATCCAGACCTGTGCCGAATGGTCTGCCTCTGGGTTGGCCGACGTCGATGGGCCCAACCTCGGCGGCATTACAAGCTTGGTATGCCGTGGCAATCACGTCGTAGAGGCACTGATGAAGTTAACCGACGGGCTGTACAATGGAGCGTGCTTAGTGTAAAAGCTGGTCGTGGGATTGAAAAACTCGAATGGAAACAGATCCGACGGATTGTTGGCCTCGGTCCATGGGGGGAGCAACTCCTCATGCGCCTTAAAAACCACGCTCTTTCCCTATATGATGTGACCAAACAATGCATGGGGTGCCCCCATGTTTCATGTGCCAAGGAGGGTGTCATAACATTGCACCACGTCTTCTGGTCGTGCCCCTGCTGTCATTCTCCGGAGGACATTCCTGCAACGCTGGAGGACACTCGGATTGCCCCTTACAGCTGTTGAAGAAGATATGTTCTCGCTGCGGCTACTGAAGGATAACTTTCGCTTTACCAAGACCACAGTTTCAGCTGATGACGTTGCCGTCATGGGACTACGTATTATGTGGATGATGCTATGCAACCTGAAGTGAGTACCATAGCAAACCGAGTAGCCAAAGGCGTAGAGCAACGAGGTCTGTTATTTATTATCGGCTTGATGTTTTCTTCGTGTCCACAACACGCGCGAAGTATTTGTCTAGTCTTGCTCGAATAGAGCCTCGTAACACTGTTGTAGCATTACACCGTGCGACACCACGTAGCCGGTTTCGCGCACAGACACCCCAAGCACCGTTGCCAGACGGACAGCTTCCTCCTTCTCGTTGGCGAGCAGCATCGTAGCCAGCTCGTCGCGCTCGTTCAAAAGTTGAACGAGTACTGGGCGATCTTGTCCAGTCTGTCTTCCATAGCCTCAATTGCCTTGAGCCTAGATATCAACAGACCCTGGCAAACGTTCGCCCTCTGAGCTCGCGATAGACGCGTGCCTGCGTTGGTCGTGGGCGGTAGCGGTGAGGCCGAAAGAGCGTCGCTGCTAAGGTCGCTAGGTTCCATCTTCTTTCACGCTTAGTGTGCACCAACAGCCGCTTTGAGTCGAGGTGTCTACTGTGATATTCTGGAGTACGCTCGGAAACTTTTGCGGTTTCCGTAATTAATCGCAGATAGATTACCGCAAATCCAGTTACACATAGCAAGCACCATCCCTTACAGGCTCTACGTTGCTTGATGTGGTGTTTGCTATGTGGAAAAACCCTTGCTATGGTGCCATAAGAGCTGTCATTTTGGTGTAATCACGTTGCCGTAACGTCGTTCGACCCCGGACGTACTAACTCGAAATCGAGTGTCGAGAACACGCCAACTACTTAACTTCTTTAATTTTTAAATCGCCGAATAAGACGCAAATGCACTGTACCGCAGTCCCGAGTTGGCCTCACCCAACGTTCCTTACCTATCCCAGCCTACTCAAAGCTCTCGTATTGTGCCCAAATACAATGTTGATACTGCGCTACCAGCCCAACCTTTCTAGTTTTGTAGCCCGGGTCTGTATTAAATTATACTGGGAGTGGGAGGACAGCTTTAGCTGGCTGAACAGCCTAACCAATTTTATTACAGCGGCCGGGAGACCCCCCAACTTTAATTGGCAAATGTCGCCTGAGTCCATAGTCCACAGATTATGGCTACCGTAACACCATGAAGTTTGTAAATTTCGTGGCTAGTTGTTTCCAGAATGTCGACCGTATCCTTGGTGTGCACCACACACTGTCTTGTACAATACAATAAAATCATTGCAGCCAATTTTCTAATTGTAATTGTTGACCCCAATTTTATTAATAGTTTTATTGCCATTTTTATTTACGCAACATCAACCTTAAAACTACCGGTTCATCACCAGTTTGTTTGGGGGACAGCGGGGCTATCAGCACTACGTCGCTTCCTATCCCAGTATAACAACTAACGGATTGAAGTCAAAGCCAATTGGCGAAACAGACGCACGATGTCTTGGCCCCGCTCTAAATAACATGAATCCTTCTTATGTAAATTTATATTTTTCTGTTCGCTGGAATGCATGACCACAACGCGCTCGGCAGGGGGCGAAGCCCCCTGCCGAGCGCACCGTTAAGTTCTTCCATGTCTTTTGCACGGCAACTTCGCCATTATTTTTTCAGGAAGGCGCTACTATCAGGGTTTGAAAAATTGCCACCACTTTTCATGTTACATTATTCTCGCCTACCCCACGCTTAGATAGTTACCAATAGGCACACAAAGGAAGTCTACACTGTCCTCCCAGACCAAAGCTTCGCCTCTAGTTTAATAATCCGGGCTTCTATTTGATACAGGGCTTCTATTTCAATACAGGGGTAAAATCCGCCGGTAACGCCCTACATGTATGTGAACCACATCATGCTGAATCGTACCTAGCTGAGTCTGCTCCAACGCGCCCCCCACAACACGAAGCGCAAGCGAGCGAGGGAGCGACTGATGGCTGACGTCGAGATGGAGGACAAGACGGCGCTGGACGACGCCACGGAGCGCAAGAAGGCTCTGTTGGTGTACAAGACCAACCTCCAGTCGGCCTCGGACGACGACGACGACGCCTCAGACGACGACGAGGAGGAGGACGAGGCCTCGGCAGGCAACGCGGGGGTTGCTCCGCCGCCCGCGGGGGCCGAAGATCACGACATGGAGCTGCCTCGAGTCCCAGTAAAGCAAAACGGAGCGGGCGGAGAGGAGGAAGACGAGGTGGACGTGGACGAGGACGAGGAGGGCAGCGTGCAGGTGGAGAAGGACGACGACGAGTCGATCAACGCGCCGTCAGACGACGATCTGGACAGCACGGCCACCCCGAGGCGCTCAGAGACCGACGAAGACGACGATGAACATTTCAAGAGTGCGGCCTCATCCAAGGCGCCGTCCCCCGAGGTGGACGAGAAGAACAGCCAGCAGCTGCAGAAGAAGATGCCGGCACACAGCGAGACGGATTCGGCCTCGGAGATGACCGTGAATCGCGCTCCATCGCCCAGCCCCAGTAATGCCAGCATTCAGCACGTGGACGATTCCACGACGCTGACGCTCAAGTCGGGCACGTCCAATGTAGGCGCGATCATTGCTGCGCGACGTCGGACTGTCGCGCGAAAAGAGTGCGAGGTTTGTCACGAGCCTCGCAATGGAAGACGCGCACTTTTGTGTGTGCAGTGCAAGTGTATGTATCACACGAGCTGCTTCCGCCAACAGTTCTCCAAAATGGTGGTCCAGGGATCCAATCGTCAGTGGTATTGCCCGGATTGCGAGCCGGCTGCCAAGAACGCATCGGCTGAGAAACAACCCGCCAGCACACCACGCAAGCAACAGCGTAGCGATGCTGCTGCCAAGGGTCGCGGCAGTCGCGGCTCCAAGCCCTCCTCTGCAAGCCGAGGCAATGATGACAAAGCTGGAGTAGCGGGTGGGTTAACAGGTGGTGCAGCGGAGTCCGAGGTGCAGCGGTTGACAGACCTCGCATTGCGAGGCGGCAAGAACATCAACGCTACAATTCTAGAGCAAACTGGGGAAATGCTACACATCACGCAGTCTCTAACTAAGGAGATCAACAGCGTAATGGGCCCCACGTGGCTTGGCAACTCTGACAGCAATGCTGACAACAACGGCAACGTCAAGCAGGAGACGCAGGTATCTTCCCCACCGCCGCCCCCGTTCGTGCTGGTCCCTACTTCGTCTTCAGCCCACTCGTCTGCTGTCACATCTTCTCAGGTTGTTGTTACAAACGATACTGCTGCACGTGCGGACGGCAGCAATGGCAGTACTGCTTCATGGAACGGCTCAGCCGCATCAACCGTCTCGGAGAAAGATGTCATGTTGCGCCGTGTACACAACGGTTTGGACTCCTTAAAACAGCTCCTAGAGCAACTACAGGTTGCAGGAATCCAGTTTGAGGTGGATTTTATTAAGGAGATTAAGGCTACTCCGAACCAAGACCGCAAGCCTGCGTCCAGCGGTGGGGCTCGAAAGGCCCAGGGTGCAACAGGAACGGCAGGCCGATCGGCATCGGGCTCAAAGGGAAAGAGTGGTGCGAGCCGATTGTATTCTTCAAAACAGATCCAGAAGCTGGAGGAGTGGTACCAGCGGTCGTCTCGGCCGGAGTCCAGCGAGATTCACTCGATGTACCGCATCATTAACTGCCCTGACTATGCGGATCCAGAGCTGCAGCCTGAAGGTATCTCGGTGAAACAAATCCGCATCTGGTTCGACAACCGACGCGCCAAAGAACGCCTCGACTACATGCGCTTGAAGATGAAGGACATTTCAACAACCGACATGGATGCCGACAGTGTGAAAAAGATGAAGGCAGCGTATATCGACGAGGCCAAGGAAGTGCTCGAGGCGCGTGTGTCGCGCATGCGTGAAAATGGACAAGGATCGGGTCATGTGGTCGACGAAGCGGATATGGCTCTGATTGCGAACAGTGCGGAGCCTATGCATGGTAAACCTCCCAAAGCAAGTCCATCCGGTGCGGGGAAATTGAGCAGCGGCTTGCTGACCGCAAGCAAAGATGGAATGGAGAGCTCTAAGCCCCCCGTTTCAACTGGATCCAGCATTCAGAAGAAGCGCATTCGAATTGATTACGTTGCTTCTGTGAGGAAGGCCATCAAGGACGCGCGTGACGCTGGCAAAAGCGAGGAGGAGACCAAAGCGTTGCGCACTGCAGCGATTGAGCGCGCGCGAGAAAGGCTGCATGTTCCTTACAAGAATGCGCGCACGGGACCCTCGAAGCCCCTGGGTAAGGATGAAGTGTCGCACATCAAGCTAAAAATGCTGAAGTTGCTGGAGGAAGATGCCCCTGCTGAAGAGCTTACCGATATTATCGAGTTGTTGCTGTCTCTCGTTATCCCGCGCGCCGTTCTAATTGAGTCGGGTATTCAGCGGCAGTTGGAGCTGATACTCATTGCTCACAAGGACAACAAAGAGCTTGTGCGACAGACGAAAAAGCTCCAAGAAGAGTTTCAATCAATTGTGGAACATGGCGATGCTCCGAGCGTCGTAGCAGCAATGGCTGGGGATGTGAACAGCAGCAGCGGCAAGAAGCGCAAGGAAAAATCCAGATCGCTACTCCTAAGTGTTGACACAGAATCGTTGCCTGGAACTCCGGGCTCTTCTCCAAGTTCAGGCCCAACGCCGTCCCCAGAGTCGCGGCGGCCGCGTGTTAAGTTTTCGCTCGCTCAGCTGATGAAGTTGGAGAAATATTTCCACAAAGAGGACACGCCAAGCAAAAAGAAATTGGACAAAATTGCCGCGCGACTGAACGGCATTGCGTCCCTTGATCCATCAAGTGACGCTGCACAGAGGTCTATTGACTACAAACAGATTCGCTGTTGGTTCTACAAGAGGCGGTCGGCGAACCAGCCCCCTCAGGCGCTCAGTGGCGCGGATCTTCATATGGACGACGCCGATTCTAGCTCCTCCAGCTCAAGTGATACTGAGTCTGATGACGACAAATCGGAGAAGGGGTCGAAGTCTCGTGCGAAGGCAAAACCGAAATCCTCGGTGCCCACTCCTGGTGGTTCTGGCTCGAAGCGTAAAGCGCCTCAAAGTGACGACAAAAGCGCTGCCAAGCGACCCAAGAAAGATACGCCTGTCGCTCAGCCTGCCCCACTTGGATCAATTAGTTCACCGAATGCAGAGGCAGCTTCTCTCAAGAGTGACGACGAATTAGCCGGCAACTTGCAGGCAGGGCGGATCTTTAACGTGAAGCAGCTTGCGACGATCATCGAAGAGTACGAAAAGAATCCGCGACCGACGGTGGCTCGACTGGAGGAACTAGAGAAGGTGCTGAACCAAGATGATCATACAGACGAGCTGTCCGTTAGCGCAACTGGCGTGACGAAGCAGCAGATCAAGACGTGGTTTTCTAACCGGCGCGCGAAGGAGCGTCTTGATCTCATCAAAATGAAGATCAAGGAGACTCGAGGGGGCGTCCAGGCCACTGGCTCTGATACTGAGGATGACGAGCGTGAAGACTCGGAGTCGAAGCCTGTGGCTGTTTTGCAAGCCGGACATGCTGCTAACACTATTGCCGGGAACGTCGCTTCTGGTGAGAAGCGGACACTCGTCACGGATGATGATCCTGATGAGGCAGAAGATATGAAAGTTGATGCATGAATAGGCCAAGCGAACCGAGCTGAGTAGCTTTTGACGCTCTAATGTGCTTTACACTGATGTCTAAGAATCTCTATTTGGTGTTCTTCTGGTCTGGTTGTGTTCGGCGTTAGTTGAGCTGCGGTCGACGCAGCTCCTCGATTGGCACGGGCAGTGCCACCGAGTCGACAAGCTTTACCATACGATACGAGGTCTCGACCGAGGTGATGCACTGCTTCAACGTCTTGCACAACACCGAATCCTCGAGTGTGTCTAGCTGCCGCAGCAAAGGATAGAGTCCGCCGTACTCCGTGAGCAATTGCACCGCCACCTCATCAGTGAGGTTGTCCACTCTCGGGAGCCTTTTCCACTGATGCCCGCACAGCGCGTAGAAGTCGGGGAGCAACTTGGGGTGCAGACCAAACCTTCCTCTCAAGTTTCGCTCTCGAATATATCGGCGCCGGGATGGCTGGTACAGCTCCACCACAGCGGCACTCTCTGACGCAACACCGCCGCCCGCCCCTGAGCCTGCTTCTTCGCTGCCACCGCCATGCACGAGCTGCAGGAAATCATTGTCGTTGGAAATCAGCAGCACGTCGAAGCCAGCGGCAGTGAACTGCGACGAGTAGGAGGCGATGATGTCGTCCGCCTCCATCCCCGGGCGCTCGATGCAGTTCACGTTGGCTGCCGCTAGGGCCTTCTTGGCGTATGCGAACTGCGGCGTGAGCGACCGAGGCGTGGGAGCTCGGTCTGTCTTGTAGGTCGGCTGGATAATTCTGCGGGTGGTGGGGCGCTGCCTCGAGTCAAACACGACGGAAATGTGCTCGGGCTCGTGCGTCTTGTCCATCCGCCGCAGCAGGCGCAGCAGACCGTCCGCCGCGCCAGTCTTCACTCCATCCCTGAGCATCCAGAGCAGGCAAGAGCGTTAGCCGCAATAATACCAGAAGCGCATGCTGCACCACCGTGGACAAGCCCAGCACGTACTGCTCGACGCTGCAGAGCGGGTCGTAGAAGTGGTAGAGCGCGTTGTTGCCGTCCACCACCAGCGTCTTCTTCCGACAGGCAGGTGCGTTCTCCGCCAGTGCTGCCGCCGCCGTCGCAAGCAAGCGCCGCCCGCTCCTCGTATTGGCGACACGCATCGGCGCTGCTGGTGCCAGCGCCCGCGGCAGCTCTGCGCCTCTCATTGCTGTCTGCCTTGGAAGTCATTGCGCGGGTCTTACCCTAATCTTTTTTTTAATCTTTTTTTTCAGTCCACAATTACTTTAAGTATGGCGGAGAAGGAGTCGTTCCTGCCGGTGCGGCACTCGCCCGCGGCGGCCACGTCGGGGCGCATCTGCTCCGCCGTGACGCTCTTCCCCTTCTACGCGGCGCAGCGGCTGCTGTCGTGTCTGGGCTACTCGCACTCCGTCCGCATGCAGAGCGGCCGAACGTAAGCCGGTCCGCTCTTCTTCTCCATTACCGACTTGCTGCCGCTGACTCTGTCTACTGCTGTGCTGTGCTGCAGGGTGGTGGTGAGCTCGGAGATCGCACAGGGAGGCTTCTCCTTCGTGTACAGGGCCAGAGACACTGACACGGGCGAGCCCTTCGCGCTCAAGAAGATCCTGTGCCAGACGGACGAGCAGGTGCAGCTGGCCAAGGCCGAGATCCAAGCGCACAAGTCCTTCGCGCACCCGAACATCATGCCGCTCAGTGACTACGCAGTGGTGTCCTCTGGGCCAGAGACCTTCGAGTATTATCTACTTTTCCCGTTCATGGAGGTGCGTGCTCGTGGGAAGCTGTACAAAGCGACACAAAAGGGCTGACCTGCTAACTGCTGCTTCTGTGACGGACAGAATGGAACGCTGCGAGAGGTGATCAACACTGCGATCAGGTAGCATGACCGATGGTTGAGCTCTTCTTATGGCTTTGTTTGGTCTGTTGCTAAACCGAGTTTGGACTGCTGCGTGCACAGTCAAGACGTGCGGATCCCGGAAGCCCAGATCCTCGACATGTTCCTCCAGATTTGTCGGGCGGTAGCGGAGCTTCACTCGAAATCGCCTCCCCTCGCGCACCGTGATATAAAGGTGAAGGATGTAAACATAGCAAAATCTTCTGGGACAGCTCGCTTATGAAGGTTTTGTGCATTTCAGCCTGAGAATGTCATGCTGTCGGACGAGGGTGAGCCGCTGCTGACAGACTTCGGGTCTGTCACCACGGCAGACGTAACTATTGCAAAGCGCTCCGATGCTCTGATGCTACAAGAGCGAGCTGCACAGCAGAGCTCGATGGCGTATCGCGCGCCCGGTAAGTGCATAGCTTTCAAGGCGGGGGTATCTGACGTCCAAGGCCAACTGACGGGAATGCTCACTGCGCTGCTTCCACAGAGCTTTACGACGTGCCGGACAACGCACACATTTCGAGCGCCACGGACGTGTGGTCGCTGGGCTGCTTGCTGTACGCCATGGCGTTCGGGTACTCGCCGTTCGAGTGCTCCTTCTACGACTCGGGCGTCGTGCGGGTCGTCGAGTGCACGTACTTGGCAGTCATCGGGCCGGTCAAGTTCCCGAAGAACTGCTCGTACTCGCCAAAGTTTTGCGAGATGATTCGGTACGTGCAAGTGTGCGCGGTGGGTGTGGGCTCCGCATCCGCTAACGCTGTTCGTGCCGCCGCAGGTGGATTCTGACCCAAGACGCGACGGCTCGGCCGTCCGTGTTCGACGTCATTGAGCGGTTACACGGCCTTAGCGAGTGAGGTTACCGTGCTGGTGTGCCGTTCCGGGGATCGGAGCGCCATGCCCAGAAGTGATTAGTGTCGTCAATGCGTGCGGGCCGTTATGCGGCACGGTGGCCGGTGAAAATTCAGTTCAACAACGGATCACTTCAACCGCTCCAAATTTCGATAAATATTTGAAAAAATCGCAAATTTCGCAAATCAAAACCACATCGAGCCAGCTGGTGAACCCCTGACCCAGACGCCGAAGTTCGGCCCGAAGTGCAAGGAAGCGTGGAAGCTAGCACGCGCCTCCGTCGTCGTCGTCGTCGTCGCGAGCGAACCCGACTAGCAGAGCCCCGCCGCCGTCTCCGCGCCCCGCCTCCGTCGGTGTATTAGTACCACCGGTGAGCGCGGCAACGATGAGCAAGGCCAAGGCCAAGGGCGGCGGGCAGAAGCTGTCGGACAAAGACATGGAGCAGCACCGCGAGTACATGAAGAAGTACAAGATGCAGTCGAGCGACCTGGAGAGGCACGAGATGCGCTACAAGGACCACTACGAGCTGCTGGGCATCCCGCGCGGCGCCAGCCACACGGAGGTGGGTCTGCCGCCGCCGATGAAAGGGCAGGAAGCTCTTAGCCAAGGACTAACCGTCTGCTACTGTGTGTGTGCCTATGTGTGTGCCAGATCCGCAAGGCCTACCGCAAGCTGGCGCTGCAGTGCCACCCGGACAGGAAACCGTCGGCCGAGGCGCTGGCCCGCTGGGAGGGCGTGCCGGCGGCCTACGCGGTGCTGTCCGACCCAAACGACCGCACCGAGTACGACGCCACGCTGCCGACGCGCGACGCCCTCGTGGAGTTCTACCGCGCCTACAACCCGGCCAAGCTGGACAACGACACCATCCAGACCATCATAGACGGCTGGTACGGCCGAGAAGTGGAGCTCTTCGAGATGCTCAACGCCAAGTATGAGGTGGCGCCGCACCAAGGCACGACCAAGAGCGCGCAGCGGGCGGCCGCCATGGCGGTATCGCGCGAGAAGGCGCACAAAATCGCGATGGACAGCCAGACGTACAAGTCCAAGGACGCCGCGAACGCCGAGATCACGTGGACGGGCACCATCGGATCAGCCTTCTGCTGCAAGGGCGCCTTCTCGCGCATGTTCAGCACGACCTACTACGAGGTGGACACGACCAGCCCGGGCTTCTTGGGCTCCCATGGCGCCTCGGACACGCCCGGCCAGGCCATGCCCATGAACCTCGAATCGCCTGCGACGCCCTCGCAACTGTCGGAGCCTGTGAGCCCGGAGTTTGACCCGCCCGTTGACACGGAGAACATGTCGAATGCGACCACCGTCGACGGATCGCCGCCCAGTGGAGACGAGAGCTGTGCCAGAACAGGCAACGTGTATGGCATTTCACCGCCAGCCCCGCGGGCAGCACAGCCGAACGCTGCGGCAGCTAGCTAAACGAGTTGTTGCATACGAACAATCCGCGGTAGGCCGCCACACGTTGCGTGCATATGATGCCGAATAAATTATCAATGTTTCCGAGGTATATGTTTCTCTACGCTGTTGCGCGCTTCGTGCAAACCAGTGCGACTCAATAGTTTAGTGCGGTGCTTGTCGCCTTCCGATCGGTGACGCGGCTGACCGACTTACGCGAAGTCGGCGAGGGGCTCCGCAGAGAGCGAGAGCGACCACGAGATAGCGCCCTTGCTCCACTCGAGCTCTGCTTCCTTCATCCATTCGTTCATCCAGCTGCCTTTCTTCAGGCTCTCGTGGGAGCACGCCTGGGACGGAGCCTCTGCACTCGAGGAAACGGACAGCTCGCCCTGCGATAGGTCTGTGAGGGTCATATCCACAAAGGCGGACGGGTCGTTCCATTCGTCAGAGCTCAGTGGCGAGGGGGACTGGTCCATCGAGGAAGAAAGCCCGAGTATCATGCTCAGTCCGTCCTTCACGGACGGCACAGTGCTGTCCTCTTCGCCTTTCGCGACTAGTTTCCTGTATGGAGCGTCGTTATCGGTTTTTGCATCAGGTACCTGCGCCACAAGGCTGGACACAGGGGGCAGCAATACTGCCTTGGGCGTCGAAATGGTCCCAGTCTCCGTGGGTTTGGGAGCACGTGCAGGGGCGAGTACAGTCTTGGACGCTTTGCTGCTCGTCGTCGACGACGAGGTGGTATCACTGGTCGAAGCAGCGACGAACTCGACCCTCTGTCCGATTTTCTTGGCGAACTTGCAGAACTCGCGAACCCAGTACTCCGCCTCGGCCGCCTTGAGGTCCTGGATGTTGAGGTTAGGGCCGAACTTGCAGCGGTACTGGACGTGCCAGTAGTAGTGGTTGCGCAGGTTGGAGAGCTGCTTCTGGAGCTTCACGTGCAGATTGTAGCAGTAATTCTTGCGGTGCTGGAAGGAGAAGTTCTGCTTGCCGATTGCCTGGCCCGTGTACTTTTTGGTCACGCGCAGCGGGTCGCACTGCAGCATGTTGGCCATGAAGACGCGCAGGTGCAACCCGTCCGCGAGCGGCAGCGCGCCCACCTGGAACTGCTTCATCACCATGTCGGCGTACTTGTGCTCGTCGACGCTCCATTTGCCCTTACGCGCCCCCGAGTTGGGCAGGCCTCGGGTTTCACGGAACACGAGCATGGCGCACACGGGCTCGTCGCAGACTTCACAATGCGTGGCCGGCCATGTGAAGATGCAGCGTGGGTGGAAGCGGTGGCCGCAGCCGTCCAGCTCCAGAACGGCCCCGCACGATTTGCAGGCCTCGCATCGGGTCGAGCTGTCGCCGTTGGCGTCGGAAGCAGCGTCGGCGTCGGGGTTCATTTGCCGGTGGTGCTCGAAGTCGCGCAAGTTGGGAAGTGAGGGCTTGAAGCGTGTGTCAACAAGTCGGTCGTGGGGTGACCAATCAGAGGCGCCGATTTGGAGAACGTTCGACGCAATGGGTACGCTTGATTGGATCGTGCAACTCGTTGTCGAGGCTTCACAATCGGTTCTTCTGGCATTGAGCGGCGCCCAGCGATTTTGTCCTACCACTTGCGCCGGATGTAGCAAGACAATCGATGCGTTGGCAGCGGAGGGTTTGTCACGCATGCTGTCGGTCTGCAAGCAAATGCCACAATGACGCCCAAAGCAGGACTCGCTTCTCTTTTTCAAAGTATTGTCGTTGATATGATTGTCGCTTGACCACGGCCGGATTCTTTACTACATCGCAGTAGTGGCGATTGGTCTTCGCGTGGGGACTCCATTACCCTCCCAGTTGCGCTGCATGTCAGTAGCGTGACGAGGTGAACGCTAAGGCTACTATTGTACAGATGCATTAGATCCACATCTGCGTCGGCGCGCTATTATCAAGTTCTATCGCGCTATATCTACGAAACCCACCGGTATGAGCCCAACCTAGCGCAGCCGCAATGAAAAGCGACCTCGTGGGCGGGACGCTCTTCAACTGTCCGAAGACGCTCTAATGCTGTACCGCCGTTTAAACAAAGCCGTTCTTCGTTTGTGTGTTCTTTAATCGTTCTGAAACGGTACGTCACAGACAAATACGCACCGTATTTGGTCTCTTAAATGCGTTTACTTAAACGGGAGGTAAATGTTAACCTAAGTGAAGTCAAATATCACTGTTGTGTTTTACCTAAACGGGGTCCACCAATCACCTTGAACACAGTTAGTTTATGTGTGTCACACGCTGTGGCGATCACACTGTGTGGCCGCCAGCATTTCGCCGCCGAACCCCCATCATCTGCAGCATGATCTCGCGCGTGGGGCTGTCCGCCGCCGCCAAGAGCGGCACCGTCGCCCGGGCAGTACGTGATGCTGCGCTCTAGATCTTACGCATGGTGCACCTCCTTGTCAACTAAGCGTTGTTTGTTCCTCGTGTTTGCCGCCGCAGCTCTCGACCTCGGCCGCTGGTGCCACGGAGACCTACTCTTTCGTCCAGGCGCGCGCCGAGTACCGAAAGGAGATCGCGTCGCTGCGCAAGGACTTCATCGAGGAGGAGAAGCGGCGCCGCGAGAAGCTCGCGCGCGATGCCGAGTGAGTTCCGCCGCTGGCTGAAAAAAAAAGAGGGAACCGCTGATAGGGAAGAATAAGCTGACGCGTCCGTCTCAATTGTGTGCAGGGCCCAGCGTCAGAAGATCATGAAGGCCAAGGCGGCCCGACTAGAGATCAAGCGCCAGCAGCAGGCGATCCGCGCCAAGGAGGTCGCTCGCGAGAAGGCCATCCACGACGAGAAAGTCAGGTGGGTCTCGTGGGTCCATCGCCCGGTCTAGCTGTAGCATCTACCGCTGATAGGCCAAGCAGAGCGATCTGAGTGCGATCACTAACGCATACTCTTTTACTGCTGCCGCCTGCAGGAAATACTTCGAGGAGAAGGTGGTGGTGCGCCAGGAGCGCAACGCCGAGGTGGAGCGCCGTCGCGAGGCGCTGGTGGCCTCGCTGCGCCAGCAGAGCGCCAAGTGGACGACCGAGGAGAACTACACGGAGAAGCTCAAGGAGGACGTCTTCATCTACTCCCCCCAGCAGATCTCGGCCCGCGGCTCGTTCGACCCGTCGAGCACGTCGGGCAGCGCCGTGTCATGGCTCGAGAAGCTGCAGCGCATGAAGCCCGCCGGCATGCAGGACAGCAGCGACGAGGCCGCCGCGACCGCTGTGGCGTCGGCGGCCGACGAGGAGGAAGCCGCGCACGTCTCCAGCGACGACAGCGCGGACGCGTCCACGCTGAAGAAGGACGAGGAGTAAGCCCGCAGACAGGGGACACACGCGCGGTTCGCCCCGCTGCTTCTAATGTTGGCCACAGTACACACTACCTAGACACGCCCTGCTTGCCTCCTACGTCGTACGTCCTTCGTGATCTTCCAGTTGCAGCAGCAGCAGCAGCAGCAGCAGGCACCTCCATTTCATCGCCGCAGGGTCATCAACCAAAGTTGAAGCTGCAGTCGAACGGCGCGGATCCCTTTCGTACTTAGTGCGGACTTGGATTTCAGAGGGAGCTCGTAGAATCTTTCTAGCGGCCGAAGCGAAGCAGCAGGAGCAGCAGCAGGATTGAAGCGCGATGGTGACGGCGGAGCAGGCCTTCCAGGCGAACGCGGCGGCGGTGGTGCGCGACTACTACGTGGAGCCGCGAATCGGTGCGTCCGCCACTGCGTGGGCTTTGGGGCAGTGCGCCGCCGCCTGATTGACTAACTGATCCACTCGCGATCTTCCGCAGACTACCGCACGATCTCGGGCGTGAACGGCCCGCTGGTCATTCTGGAGAACGTCAAGGTACGCTGGCTGCCCCGATGCGCATACATGGTGCGCTGCAAGGAGACTTGGTTCTTTGCTGACGCCGCGCGCGTTTCTTTTCTCTTGTGTGCTGGCTCCGTAGCTGCCCAAGTTCGCGGAGATCGTCAACTTGACGCTGGCGAGCGGCGAGAAGCGCCAGGGCAAGGTGCTGGAGGTGCAGGGCAGCAAGGCCGTCGTGCAGGTTTTCGAGGGCACGGACGGCATCGACAACCGCCACACGCACTGCGAGTTCACGGGCGATGTGCTGAAGATGGCCATCTCGGAGGAGATGCTGGGCCGCGCCTTCAACGGCTCCGGCAAGGCCATTGATGGCGCCCCCGCCGTCGTCGCCGAGGAGTACCTGGATATCGAAGGCCAGCCCATCAACCCTTCGTGCCGTGACTACCCCAAGGAGATGATCCAAACGGGCATCTCGGCCATCGACGTTATGAACTCCATCGCCCGTGGCCAGAAGATCCCGCTGTTCTCTGCTGCTGGTCTGCCCCACAACGAGGTACACTGTTAGTCAAAGTAGGGGCTGGTAACTTGCTAGTTCTGACTTGTGTCGTTTTGTTTGCGGACGGTGTAGATTGCTGCGCAAATTGTGCGTCAGGCCGGCCTGGTGCAGCGCAAGGACGTCATGGACTCGCACGAGGACAACTTCGCCATTGTGTTCGGTGCTATGGGCGTGAACATGGAGACGGCTCGTTTCTTCCGTAACGACTTCGAGGAGAGCGGATCCATGCAGAAGACGGCGCTGTTCATGAACTTGGCCAACGACCCCACCATCGAGCGTATTGTGACGCCGCGTCTGGCCTTGACCACGGCTGAGTATCTTGCGTACGAGCGCGACCTCCACGTGCTGGTCATTCTGACGGACATGAGTTCGTACGCTGATGCACTTCGTGAGGTGTCGGCCGCTCGTGAAGAAGTGCCCGGCCGTCGTGGTTACCCCGGTTACATGTACACGGATCTGTCGACGCTATACGAGCGTGCTGGTCGTGTTACGGGGCGCAACGGTTCCATCACGCAGCTGCCCATTTTGACCATGCCCAACGATGATATCACTCACCCCATTCCGGATTTGACGGGCTACATTACCGAGGGACAGGTACTTGATATGTAAAGCCCCAGCGTTGCGGCTCGCGTGTAGCTTACTGACTTTGGATCATTGTCGCTCTGTAGATTTACGTCGACCGTCAGCTGCACAACCGTCAGATCTTCCCGCCCATTAACGTGTTGCCGTCGCTGTCGCGTTTGATGAAGAGTGCCATTGGCGAGGGTATGACTCGTGATGACCACAGTGCTGTTTCGAACCAGCTGGTAAGTGGGTTCACATACTCGAAAGATGCGGTATTCGTCGTGGAATGACTTTTTGACGATCGTTTGGATACGTAGTATGCTAGTTACGCTACGGGCAAGGACGTGCAGGCCATGAAGGCCGTCGTCGGTGAGGAAGCTCTGTCGCTGGAGGACCACCTTTACCTGAAGTTCACGGACAAGTTCGAGGGTAAGTTCATCGCGCAAGGACCGTACCAATCGCGTGATATCTACGAGTCCCTGGATCTGGCATGGTCGCTCTTCCGCGCGTTCCCGAAGGAGCTGCTGAAGAAAATCCCGAAGAAGCACCTGGACACGTACTATGCCCGTCGGACGCAAGCGCGTGAAGAGAAGGAAGAGGTGCGTTCTAAGTATCTACGTGTCTGATAACTTAGATGCTGACCATCTAACCGTTGCTATTTCATGATTTGCAGTGAGTGAAGTCGTGATCACTGGTGGAGCCCTGTCTTTTAAGGCTAGGTGAGAGCATCAGTGGTGTTCACGGCACTAGGGAACAACTACCGGCGGGGGCTTGGCACGCCGGCACCACGCTTTTGTCCTCTTTCTAGCCCTGCAGTCTCTTCATGTTGTTCCAAATGTGTTGAAGAACTTCAAGTAAAATGAGAGCTGCTTGAAAAGTTTTAAGTTACGTTTGTATTGGTTTCGGGTTCCTTCTGCCTCCGTCGTTGAGAAGCTGGAGGCGGTTGTGCAGGCTGCTGCCATTCAGGGTCTGTATGTTGGAGCACGAGACGACACTGCCGCACACTGATGTGCCGCTTTCGGCACGCCTCGCACATCCGCTTAAACTTTGGCGTTTTTGCTGTCCAAAGAATCGTGATGTTAATTCGTGAGTGTTCAACAAGAAAAACAATAGCATACTACATACCTTGTGGTCGAGCGGGCCTCGCCGCTCGAGCTGGCACAGAAGCTGGCATTTGGGGCCAAGGGGCCATTGGCATTAGCCCACCGGCAACTTGGGGATTAAACACCAGTGGTGTTGCTCCAGGAAAGGGAAAGAACATGTTCAGGTTGAGCGCGGAGTTTGCTGGTGGAAGTGCAATCTTGGCAACGCTGCTGCCGGTAGTGTTCGGCTTGATGGGTTGGGCCGCAGTTGTGAGGATTGGAGGTGGCGGTGGTGGTAAGGGGGCGGGCATTATCAAAGGTGCAGCCGTGCTGGGAATCGCGAGCTGACTGGTGAGTAGTAAGCTCATAGGCGCTGGAGGAGGAGGAGGAGGAGGAGGAATTGCAGTGGTGCCCTTCGTCGAGGCTTTCACGAAAGCTGCAATGTGCTGGTGAGCACGGATCTGGTTTGCCAGCGCCACGCCCCCACACCCTTGCTGTGTTGCATTCTCTCCCGATTTCTCCGCGGGAACCTCCAACATGCCGCTCGACTTGTCGCTCTTGATGGCACTGGCGCCTTCCTCTTCGAGTACCTGATGCCTCGACTTGATCCATTGCTCCTTCGAGCGCTGGATCTCGCGCACCTTCTCGCCAGCCTCAATGGCGGTCCGCAGCGCACCCCGCTGAGCCTTCTTCGTCATTTTCTTGGTCACCTGGTCAGGGTTTATCGCAGCTAGTGAGGATAAATCTGCCTCGTCAGGTTCAGCGGTCAGGTCGACCAATCGGGACTGCGTCGCAGGACTCTTTTGCAGCAGCACGCGAGCAGATAATAAGCGCACCATAACACATCCGCAGCAATTACAGACACACGATCGTACCGTGCTGACAGCGGCGGCGGTACTGCTGCTGCTGCTGTAGACGCCAAACATGGAGTCGATGAAGTCCGCCATCTCCATCAGGTCCCGATGCAGAATGCGCTGGTAGCTGGCATACGCAACTCAAGTCAGCCCTCTCCTCGACATCAAGAGAAATGCATGCAGACAGCAAACACACGCGACGAGGCCTTCGATGTCCTGCTCCGCCTGGCACTCGGCCGCCGCCGCGATCATGTCCTCATTGACGTTCAGCATCTGCGTACACAGCGATCTGCGTGAGCGCGTTCTCGCACGCGACGGAGCAGCGCAAGAGGCAGATACGTACGTCTGCAAACACATCCGAGATGGAGGCCACACCGCCGCCGTCCTCGTCGTCCTCCGCCTTCCACTCGGCTGGCGCGTTGCTCGCCATGGGGCAAATTGCATTTTGGCGCGGGTTGGACTGGGGGACGAAAAGCACCTCAATAGTGGACCCTATGTGAGTCACTTCGAAGAGGAAGGCAAGTTGTCGAGCACGGCCTCCCTTCGGAGGCGCTGTACACTGTAGTAAGACTCCCATGTAAATGATATTAACACGCCACTCGCCTACAGCAGCAAACAGATCGACGCTGCATGTCACCCGTCGAAATCGCTGTCGGAAATGTCCTCGTAGCTCCAGACGTCCAGCCCTCCATCGACAAACAAATCCTCTTCTGCCAACACGACACGAGCACGTCCATGGTGAGCATCAACACAAGGACTATCGCCACAATATAAGAAAGCACGGTTCACCACTGCAGGTGTCCCAGTCCAGCATGTCTGCCGCCAGTCGCTCTGCCTGCGAGCGGGTCGTCTGCTTCGGCGCCTTCTTCTGCCTCTTCGCCTTCGGTTTGGGTGCGGCAGACGCATGAGTAGACCTAGGGCCCCTCTTCTTCCCTGCCACTGCATCCGACGCTAGAGCCCACACATGCGCTCGTCGCTGAGTTGGCTTCCTTGGCGCCGGCGCCGACGCCCGAGACTGCGCGTCCGCAAGCTCGCTGATCTGCGAGAGCACGTTCAGCTGCGATGCGGGCGACAGCAGCAGCTCTCTGCGTGGTGCGTGCGGAGTTGAATCTGCTAGCACTACACGTAATGTATTAGGATCCGCACAGGCTTGGCGCACGAATGGCAGTGATGCACTGAAGCTCGTCCGCCGTACATGGTTCCGGAAGCGGCGCCGAGCTCTGGGAAGCGCTGGAACTCGCCGTCGTCGACTGCCGTGTCTCGGGTCCCTGCACTGCCGACGGTTGCGTCCACAGACACGGGGACAGGGGCGAGTCCTCGCCCAGCACCGTCTCGGCGTCGCTGCTGTTGCACTCGCTGGCCGGCATCGTCAATTGATCCGCTCAAGTTGAAGCCACCCATACTAAATACGAATCGTACTTAGTGGTGTGTGTATGCGCGCCGGATCACTCCAACACAGCGGCAGCGGCACAATCGCATCGGCGCCATGGAGCTGCGCTTCCGGGGCAAGAAGGGCGCGGAGAGCGCGGACGCCGTCGCGTTCTGGTAGGTGGCGGGATGCGGAGAGAGTTAGGTAGGGCGTGCGCATGCGTGGCGGCTCAGCGTACTGATCTGTTCTCTTGCGGCGGCCGTGGCAGGCTCTGCGAGGGGCTGAAGAAGCGCCGCGTGCAGGGCAAGAAGACGCAGACGCTGACGGCGGCGGCGCCCGAGTGGGAGCTGGCGCGCGTGCTGGAGGACGCGGAGCTGCACTTCATGAACGAGTCCACGGGCCTCGTGGTGCCCCGCGACGAGGAGATGGGCAAGTTCATCTCGGACCGAGACGTGGTGCGCCTGTGCACGACGAAGGAGCTGGGCGCGCTGCTGCAGAAGTTCGCGACGCGCGACCAGGAGGTGGCGGCGGAGATGATGAACCCCAAGGCGGCGACGCCCATCGAAGCGGCGCTGTGAGTGTGATCGCGTGGCTGTTGATAGCGGCGTTGCAGCTGCTGACGATTAAATCCTTTTTGTTGCTTGTTGCCTTGTGTTGCTGTTCTGACGCTTGCAGCTCGCGCCTCAAGAAGATCAGCGTCACGAACCCGACGTTGAAGAAGCTCCAGAAGACGTTCGACGACCACACGAGCCCTCACTCGGCGACTGCGATCAGTGAGGCCGACGCACTGGACCAATCTCCCGAGGTAGATCCGATATTCGAGAGCGGGGAGCTCGAAGAGATCACGGAGGACGCTGCGAACCGCCCCAAGACGTGCGATATGTGCGAGGTGTCATGGCCTGACGACGCGGCGGGAAGCATGTATCGCTGGACGAAGCTGGGGATCATTACGCACCAAGGCTGCGCGCAATTTACTGCTGATGTATTGGCGCAGCACCCTGAGATCACGACTCGCGACGAGTTCCTCAGCATGTCCAAGACGCCAGTGTCGAGCCTGAACAAGCCTGGCACCTTCCACGTCACGGTGCATCGCGCGATGGAGTTGCCCGGAACGCAATTAATTGGAAAGCAGGCGCCCTATGCAAAGCTGTCGCTACTTCCTTGGAAGGAGCCCATGCAAACCAAGTCTGTTGAGAACGGCGGCCGCAATCCGGTCTGGATCAACGCGCACGACAATGAAATGCAGTTCTCACACATGTACAACAGCACCATCACTCCTATCCCGCTGCTGGAGGTCGAAGTGTATAACTACAATTACCTGGCGGATGACCAAGTGGCTTGCACCCTGGTGGATATGAGTCCTCTGCTTCGGTACCCGAATATTCAGGCCAAGAGATGGTTTACGCTGTCGTCTCGAGCTCTGCTCACACAGAGCACTGGCCAGCCCAAAATCATGCTTGGGATCAAGTTTGTCCCGACTGAAGGAGAGATCAGTACGACCAACGCGCACAAGTTCCGCGTCCACCAGCTGAAATCCATCGGTCTCGCGATACCAGTTTGTGCAGTCTGTACGTACGCAGGCTTTCAAATGTGCTTGGCAACCGTTTGACTAGTTTGTACGGTGGGCTTATTTTTCTCGTATGTATCGATTGTGTTTTAGGTGATCGATCCATCATGAATGCGCTGAAGAGTATATGGGGCTATCGGTGTGAATTGTGTGGAATCGATGTACACAAGGGCTGCATGATGAAGGCAACAATTCAGTGCGAATGTGTTGCACAAGAATTGCTGAGCGCTGGTCAGGAGGAAAAAGAACACGGGGGTACAAATTTTCGTGTGCTAAATGACGGTGTGTTGCGCCCGGCGGGGGTACTATATGTGCGTTTTCGGGGCTTGCACTTGTGCACAAAGCATTGCCGAGACGATTTTCACGCGAAAAATATTTTTGAAGGGGATACGTACTGTCGGCTGAAGTTTGATGGAATCGTACACGAGACCAGTCCGGTACTTAAGAGTGCCGACCCAATGTACATGGAGAACTTGTGCTTCAAGGTCCGCCATCCGAACTCGACGTTCTGCATTGATGTGATTGACTTCAACTCGGATCAGTGCATCGCGCAATTGAACGTGTCACTGTTCCAACTTCTCCAGCGTGAAGCAGACAAGTTCATTCGCACAAACCCGCTGCTGAAAAGCTTACGCGACCCTCTTCGCCATTTGAGCCTCAACAATGAGACGAACCAAGCTGCGATCAACGATTCGTGGGCTGCTCTACCGATTTTAAGTGATCAAGACCACTACACGCTGTCACCGTCGCCAGGGTCTAAGCCTCAACCCGGAGAGAAGCTTGGCTATGCGATGATCGATTTGGACTACGTGGAACACAAAGAAGATTTGCTTCGCGTGCGCGTGGACAACGACTCATCCCTTCTCGAGCGTGAGGACAAAGAGTTCTCCGTGGAATCTTTGCGGATAACAATCGAGCGATTTGGTCGCGCGGTAAAGATCTTCCAAGGAATTGATGCCGAGTATGCCAGTGTGATCTCTTGGAAGAACAAGAAGAAATCTGCTGTATGCTTCGCCATATTCGTGTACGGCTGTGTATTCGCTGATTTAGAGTACGCTCTGTCGTACATCTTCGGGGGAATTCTTGTGTACATGCTCTATCGGCTGCATATTCGGCTGGAAGGGGCTTTTGTCGCCCGTTGGATCGGCTACGAGGAATACGAGCTGGAGCAAGAGGAACAGCAGAAACTGTACCGGCCGCTTGCAGACTTGCACGTCGCGGTCCACGAAGCCTCTCTCTCCAATGAAACGGATAGTATGCTCATCGAGTCGCAGTCGCGTATGAAGGATGTATCGTCCTCGAAGCTTGGTTTCTATGTTCGAATCAAGTATCGCCCCAACGACAAGGAGTCTGAAGCAGGTGATTTGGTTCTCAACCCTTCTGGATACGACGAAACTACTGTCGCTTGGACGGGTGTGGTGGCGAAAAGCAAGAAACCAAATTGGCGCAAAACTTCTTTGCCATTGGCAGGTACAATGCCGTCCGCAAAGCTTCGAAAGGCGCTTCCGTTCAGAAACTTCAGTGTGTCGTGGCGTCATGACCCCAGGACATGTACTTGCGACCAGTGTGTTGCCTATCAGCGGAGCTTGAACGGAGAAGGAGAAAAAGGTGCAGATAAGGCGACGCTTAGTTGCGGTGTTGATCACCACGCATACTATTTCCCCATCCCACAAGCATCTCGGAAAAACTTTTCTGGCCGTGACGATTTGGTGCCGTGGTCTTCATTCCCTGGTCTACTTCAGTTTGATTTGTGTATTTCGCTCACTGGTGAAGCAAAGGAGACGCCAGATTTGATTGCTGCGACGGCAACGATCCCGCTCCGGAAACTTTTAAAGCGAGGCGATAACTCGGGTGAGATGTTTCTTCCGCTGTCTTCGTTTTCTACCCCAAGTGCCGACAAAGACTCTGCATCTTATCGCTCTAAAAGCACCGAGGCGAAAGATGGCGACTATCTGCTCGTTAGAGTTGAACTTCGAATTCCAGAGCAAAGCAACATGTCATCGAATGACAAGCTGCTGCAAAGTGAAACCTGCGAAACGCAAGAGCTGAGGCCAGCTCAGGTGGTCACGACGCGGAAAAAGAGGCCTGTAAGCCACGTGGAGCGCAATTTTTCCGAGTTTGTGTGCGAGAGTATGGTTGAGAAGGAGAAATCAAAGATCATTGGCGCGAATCTCTTCGACGCTTTCTGGAAAGTGAAGGACACTGTCAGGCAGCTTCAAAATGAGATTGGGCGTGCATGTGGTGCATTGGCCTGTGCTGAGAATCTCCTGAACTGGACGCACCCGTGGAAAACTGCAACCGCTTTCGTTGCCATCGCGATGATGACGCTAGTGTTCTCGGTCGTCCGAGGCCGCTGGGCAATCCTCATATTTGGTGTGACGGAATTCGGTGCTGCGTTCGTGGATGATGCTCCGACGAGCAAGCGCGTCAGAAAGATCCTCTGGAATTACCTGTCTTCTCTTCCAACGGACCAGGACCTCATCGATCTGTACGAACCCGAGCGTGCGGTATACATGAAAAAGCGCAAGACGCAACAAGAACAGGACGAGGAAGTTGGTGTCCGCCTTCGCTATCACGCACTGTGGATCGGCACTGTTTCGTCAAAAGCTGCAGGCGAACGCAATCTCAAGGTCTGTTTCATTGCAGCGTCATCATCTTGTCTATCACCGCTGATCTGGTTGCACTCACCATTTTCGTGCTGATTTGGTTTGTAGAACTTATTTGTGGTGTACCGCCCCTATCGTTTCCTGCTGTGGAAGAGTGAGGATGATGCCGAGGAGGGATCCCCACCGCAGCTGCGGTTGCTGGTAGGTGCTTGATACGATGAAACTTTTGATCACTGCTTTGAAGTGCTTATGCGATCTAATTTGTGTGATTGGTATGCGCGTAGTTTGACAAGCCGCAGGCCATCACCGACAAAAGCGATGAAAAGGTGTTTGCATTCTGTGTGGAAGGGGTGAACGGCAGTGGGAGTGAAGGTGAGACCACGAGCAGTTGATATTTAAATTTTCTTCACGCTAACGGTGCCATGTGTGCAGAAACCCGCGTGTTCACCTTGGGCTCGCTGGAGGCGAAAAATGCCCTCCTAGACATTGTCCGTCAGAGCTGTCGGCTGTAGTTCCCAACTCACTGATATGGGGATAGATGGATTAGCCCCCGTGCTTTCAATCACTGCTTCTGACCGCAAGAGCTTCCAGCTTGTCTGTAACTCCGTCGATGAGCTCAGTGATGCCGTCTAGTTGTCTTCTCGCGGACACTAGCTTGTCATCAATCTGCGTTATAACCTTTTGCACGATTTGTCTCCTGCCGGTTCTGAAGACAACAGCAGCACGCAGACGGTCTGAAGATGCAGCGTGTTGCAGTATCCGCTCGTCGTTTTCTGCAGTCCCCCAGTCGGCTATCGTTTCTATCAAAATACTGCGCAGCCACTCCAATGCATCGCACAACGCAGTTCGCTCGGACAGCTCAGCGGCAGCTTCGCTTTGCTCTTCATCTGGTACCGGGTCCGCGAGGCCAGCGAGGAAGCTGGGAGGGAACAGCTCGTCCAATGAGCTCTGACGGTCGATTCGGACCACTCTCTTCATGAACCGCAGCTTCCTCCCCCGAGGCCCCGCCCGGTCCTTCCCGATCTCCACATCCACATAGTCCCATTCGTTGTCGGGGAGCGCGAACCCGTAGTCAAGCAGCAGCTGGAAGTTGGAGCGGCGTCCGTACGAGTTGAAGACCTCGGCGCCTTGGGCGAAGCTTGTGGCGCCCGACGGATAGAGGCGAAAGAGGCCGTTGTCGTTCACGTCGAAGTCGTACTTGGTGGCGACGTTGGTGTGGTTGAGGCAGTCGGCGAAGGGCACAAGCGCCGTCCAGGGCAGCCTCCGCCCGAACGTGCGCGCCTGGATTGTCTTCCACGCGAACTTGAACCTGTCGAAGGTGTAGAGCGCCTCGGGAAACTCGCCCGGGTACTTGGTCTGCAGTCGGACCATCACACGGCGGTAGTACACGTCGATCTCTGACGTGCGTCTCGCCGCCGCGTCCACGAGTCGCTCGTCGTGCAGCTCCCCGAGCTCGGCCTGGGTCCAATCCTGCACGCTCTCGGGGTACGGCAGGACGGCGAGGTACGGGTGGAAGAAGGAGCGGTCTGCGAGCAGCAGCTCGCGCACGAGGAAAAGCGCCAGCACGGGGTCGTCGCGCGTGAATACGTCGCGGTTGTCCTGGAACACGCGCCCGAGCTGCGGGTCCCGCCAGCACAAGTCCTCCGAGATGAGCAGCCGCCGCGGGATGCAGAGCATGGGCTCACCCGAGGCGACGGCGGCGGCGGCCACGGTGCCGCGCAGGCCGTTGGGCGACGTGACCGGCCACTGCAGCTTCGGGAACGTCGCGCCGTTGTCGCGCAGCCACTGCAGGAAGCGCTGCTCGGCGGCGGCGGCGGCGGCGGCGGACGTCATGATGCACAGTAAGTGCCGCTCAAGTCGGTTGCGGCCGAACCCTAGCTGCCACACAAAACCTGCCCCCCCTGGACCCTAATCGAATTTGAATTAGGGCGGGAATGCTGTTCCGCGAGCTGCGCTTCTACCTGTCGCGCGCGCTGTCGGCCGAGGACAAGGAGGAGCTCGAGCGGCTCATCCGGCAGAATGGGGGCATCGTGTCGGCCACGCCGGCGGGCGCCACGCAGCTCGTGGACTGCGATAAACTGGACGCCAGGCAGCCCGAGTGGATCTCCGCCGACTTCATCAAGGAGTCGGTGGCGTTCCGGGCGCTGCAGGACCCGGCCAAGTACTCGGGGGCGGTCTTCACGGTGCAGCAGGAGCGCAGAGGGTCCAGCAGACTCGTGCGAGTGCGTGTGCGGTACTCGAACGAGGAGGACGCCAGGCTGCTGCACTTCGCCAAGCAGCAACGCTGGAAGGCCACCGAGTCGCTCGCACTGAGCGTCTGGCAGCAGGCGGAGAGCGAGCGCGTGACGACCCACACAGCGCACAGCATGCACGAGCGTTTCAGGAAGCACTTGCAGATGACGACGCCCATGGAGCAGCGGGCAATCATGGCCAGAGCAGCGGTAGGGCGACCGCATTTTGCTTTGCAGGGTTGAAGTGCAGTTGTTTTTTATACTGATGGAGCTATTGGTGGGCTGCAGGCGACAACACGAGCAAGACTGCTGGAGCGAGACGCAGAGGTGGAAGAGATAGATGATGATGAAGACCAGAAGAAGGAGGAGGAGGAGGAGGAAGAGGAGCAACAACAGCAGCAGGAGGTAGTGGAGCCGACGCCTCGAGCACTTGCAAGTCCGAGCCCCACTGGGTTTCGGAACGTCGCGACGCCCGAGTCAACCCCATCCCGGGCTTCAAGGTCGACACCACGTTCTACGACTCGCCAAAGTGTTGCAACCTCGGAGCAGGCTACGATTGAGAGCCAGCTGAGAGAGGTCGGGGAAGAGAAGCTCAGCGGACGTGCGCGCTCGCGCAAGCCCAAGTCTCCGCTCAGGCTTTCACAGAGGCTTCAACCGAGCGAAAGAGTTCAATTGAGCTCGAGCAGCGAACAGAATTCTAGCGGGAACGTTGCTTCTCCAGCTCCTACTGCTGCAGCAGCTCCTCTATCAACACCGACGGCAGCCCCACCCACTCCTGCCAGCCCACCGGAGGTTCCAAGCAATCAGGCAGCTCAGTCTTCGCCAGCACCTTCAGCTGGATCATCAAGCTCGTTGCCATCTACACGTAGTAACCAGAACGCTGGCAGAACCCAGCAGAAGCGCAAGCGGAGAAATTCGAGCTCTGGGTCTACAAGCAGCCAGGGGTCAAGGTCATCGCGCCAAGAAGTGGAAGGAAGCAATGCTGAAAGCATTGAAAGTAAAAACAGCGGCAGTAATGGGATTTTTTCCGCAGTGTGTGGGCCCAGCATCTCGGAGATCCAAGCAAAAGGAGACTGCTGCAAAGGTTCTTTGGACCTCCTGCGAAACCTGCGCCTCAATCCCAAACAAGCACAGCGGAATCTGCGACCGGCAGTGATCCCAATGAGGCTGCTGGGTCTGGTGAATCTCAAGTGAGTGAGGTGCTCGACGAGCGTATGGACGAACTGGAACAAGAGAAGATGGAGCAAGCAACGGATGAAGACACAGACGACATCATTTGTCACCTTCAGATGGAGAGTCATCAAGATCTGCATACTGTGGTCCACGCCCTGTACTACTGCAGCGGAGATGTCGAGATGGCAAGATCCTTCCTCAAGGGCGTTTCACCTCCAAGCATGTGGTCCCCCGAGGACGATCTTTTGCTTGTTGACTTGCTGGCCGATGAGAGCACCTGTCGTGCCGCTGTTGGAGCGGCTGTGACCCGTGGAGACTTCAGCTCGATGCAAGTGGCACGTGACACGGATGCAATTTTGAAACGAGTGCAGTTTCTTCGGTGATGATCTCGCGATTGCGCGAGCTAATATATGGTACGTGCACTCTTCTGCTGTGCATGGCGTTCGTCCAGTTTTGTCGTCGTCTTCGTCTTCTGGTTCTTGGATGAGTTCATACAGGTGTGCGGCTTCCCTCCGTTGCACTCTCCGTGGTCGACGAAGAGTCTGCTCCAGCATGCGCACGATTTCGCCCCTCCAGCCAAAGGTAAAGCCACTCGTACGTGGTCAACCCACGGAACGCTATGTAGAGGTGGAAGGTGCCGAGCACGATGAGGAAGAACAGCTCGAGCAGGGACAGGATCGACAGTGCGCACAGTAACACGGCTCGAGCGTTCTTACCTTTTACTTCGTCGTCTTGCCCCGGAGCAAGGAAGCGCGAGATGGCGTAGCCCGTGACAACCTGCTGGGTCAGCAGCAACAGGATCGAGCACGAGAGCAGACCAACGAACAGCGGGTAGTTGCGCGTGCCGATGCACGTGTTCAGGTAGATGCAGTGGTGGTCGTATCCCGGGATGCACTTGTTGCATCTACCGCAATGCCTGGTGTCGTAGGTGAGCGCCATGCGGCCACAGACGCTGCAGGTGACGACAACTGGATGCGACGTCAGCATGACAGGACTCGCCTTGATCGCTGGAGCTGTGACGACGTGCACACCTGCAGCAATTGGCGCTGCAACTCGAGTGTCCTCATCTGCCGCTCTCGACTGTTTCGGATGTGTCGCCTGGTGTCTTGGCTGTCCCGGATCGAAGCGCGAGATCTGCACAGCCACACGTAATGAGCCACCACAGGAGCAAGGTCAACAGGGGATCACACGTACGATGACAAACAGCAGAGTCGTGATGGCCAGCTGGACGCTGTAGAGCGGCACGACGGTGCGTTGCATGAGTCCTGGCAGCTCCTGCACGCTGAAGCCGTAGAAAACCACCGCCGAGAGCAGGCCGATGCCCACCACCTGCAGGAGCACTCACCCGTCAGAAGCCCACCCCCAAAGTCGAAAAGCTTCAGCTCGCTGACCGCTCGAACGCACCGCAATCTGCGACGGGTGGAGTGGAGCCTCGCAGCCATGGCGACGCGGGGCTCCAGGCGCCATCATCGAGCACCACCGGCGTCTGCTCGCCTCTTGTTCAATGCCGCGCTTCAATCGTACTTAGAGGAAAGCTGTAGACTGGATGACCAAGCGGATCGGGGACGACGAGGCTCTGGAGGAGCGATCCCCGACCGGCAGCGACATGCTGATGCGCGCGGCCAAGACGACGCTGTCCCGCGCCAACTCGCTCTTCAGCAGGACGCAGACGCCGTGCTACCTGCCGCCGAGCATCGCGGGCAACTTGCCCCACTTGACGCCAGGTTCGGAGCACTCGAAACAGCAGCAGTTGTTGCTTGAGGAATTTTGTGCTGATGCAGACGTTGATGGTGTGCAGACAACTGCAGCAAGGTCGGGGACTTGACTGCGCAGGTGGTGGACTACGCCGACATGTACGCCATGGCTTGGCAACTAGGGAGGACGGGCTGGCTTGGGGTGGGCTAATTGCTTAGCGGGGTGTTTGATACTGCAGCTCGGGCTTGGTGAAGCTGGTGTCGAATAAGCAGCGGCCCTTCCGAGAGTTCTTGAATGTGACCGACTGCGAGCTCGTGCTCTCCGCTAGGGACTACATCAGTCACTCGGTGCGTGATGCCGGGGTTCATCTGTCCTTGTATTTGGCTAGATTCACTGATGTTGAGGTATTCAGAATCCGCCGAGCTCCAAGGCGACGGGCTTCATGATCGAGACGAGCGGCGGGCGACGCACCGTTTCCGTCGAGGATTTCATGCAAGCGACCGAGTTGCTGCAGCCAGAGCTGGTTGTGCCGCTAGCTGACGAGATTCCGGTTGAAAAGGGTCGGAACCGCCACCGCGCAGCTGTCCAGACCTCCTTGGACTGGTTGGACGCCTGCCAGGCTCTCAATACTTCGGGCACGCCCATGTGCGGAGTGGTTGTTGGCGGCAACGACCAGACGTTGCGGCGGATGAGTGCTGGTGAAACCTGCAAGCGCGACATCCAGGCCATCCTGCTCAGCGGTCTGGGGGCTTGTAGCGATAAGGCGGAGCGCTTGGAGCTGATCGACGCCATCGTGAGCGAGGTCACCCCGGCGTCACTTCCCCGCATCGTCACTGGGATCGGGCACCCGCTCGACGTGCTGGACACCGTCAATCGCGGCATCGACGCTTTCGTGTCGCCCTACCCTGCCACCGTCACGAAGGCGGGGTCTGCGCTCATCTTTTGGATCAGCGACGACGAAGACGCAGGCAGTGCAAGCGACCGCAACGCTGAGCGCGAGCGCTCGGGCGGAGTGCTGCACTTGCGCGAGAAGCGATTCGCGACGGACTTTGGTCCGCTCATGGCTGGGTGCGACTGCTTCGCCTGCCAGAAGTACACGAGGGCGTACATCCACCACCTGCTGAACGTCCGCGAGATGCTGGGCGACATTTTGCTGTACCTGCACAACCTGCAGCACTACTACCGCTTCTTCCGCGAGATCAGGACGTCGATCAACACCGAACGCTTCGAGGCCTACCACGCTGAATTCGCGAGCAGATTCGAGGAGAAGGCCTCGACTGCACCGCCGCTTATTATCCCTGCGGCGATAGAGGAACGCAAGCGCAAAGTGGATGCGGACAAGGCTGCTGTGAAGGAGACCAAAGCCAAAGTAGCAGCAGCACAACACGAAGCCGCAGTTTTGAAGCGCGCGCGGCCGTGAAAGTGTAAGCCGATGTATTCAGGAACTTAAATCGCTGAGCATGCAATTTCATTGGCTTGTCGGCTTCAACCTCTACACAATATTGTGTAATTGCGGCTCTTCATGGCGAAGATACGGCTAACCAGAACCGTTGATCACATAGCGATCTTTTCTCTTTTTTTGATTGGCATGAAGCGTGTCAAAGTCTGTCATTTCGGATTCGGTAGAACTCAAGCACCAGAGGGAGAAGAGTTGGCAGCTTTTGAGCACTTGAGCCAGGCATGAGGCGATTCCTTGTGTGGGCGGCAGTGCTGGCAACCGCGCTGCTGGTCTCGGCAACTGACACCGCTGCTGCGAAGCCCATTGCGAGGAAGAGAGACTCGAAGCCTCGCGGCTGGGTGCTGGCTGGCGACCTGGCCGACAACGAGGAGCTCGTGGGGCAACGAAACTCGGGTGGCTACCTGCGAGGGTCGGAAACGGCGGCGACGTTGGCCTACACCGACAAGACAAGCGCGTCGACGGCCGAGAAGGCTAGTCCTTCGTACACTGCCAAGGCAAACCCACCATCGAGTGCTTCATACGGCGAGAAGACGGTAGCTGGGGCAACGACGACGGCTTCGCCGATCACCACGTCAACGGGTGCAGTGAAACAAGGTTTTGGGGTATCAAGCGTTATCGTTCCCTGGGGCAGCGTAACGGCCAAGGCATCGGCCTATTCCAACACGGAAGCACCAACGCCAGCGCCGCAACGGACTGACAATACTGGTGGAGGCCTGCATGGTGGTGGCGTAAAGGTTGACAACCCGACAGCACCGACGAGTGCCGAGAAGGCTACTGCCTGGTACAATACCAAGACGGAGGAGCCATCTACCGCTCCGCTGAGGACTCCATTACCACCAACCGCTCCGTCTAGTGAGAAGGCGAGCACTTCGCCATACTCGGCGACGGATACATTGAAGCAAGGCGAAGTTGTGTCAAGCGTTATCGTTCCCTGGGGGAGTGTGACTTCCAACAGCAAAGGGTCAACACCAACCGAACGAATCGAGGAAAATGGAGAAGGTGGTGCGTATGGTGCCCGTGTGAAGGTTCACGATGCTATTCCAGCGACGGACAGCAAGGGCGAAGCGAAGCAAAGCGACTCCAATGTGCACGAGAGTCCGGCAGAGGCCAAGACGAGCGACAGCAAGTTTGGTTTCTCACGATGGTCTCCTTCAGTATCCGGAGATGTGGAGAGGACAGCCCCCTCCCTCGGCCCGGATTCAACCTCCACCTCCAGTGACTACACTAGCGCTCCACTCAGTGGAATTTCCAGCGCGGGACTGTATTCGGGCGCAGGAGGAGTAGCGGTGGCTACCAAGACGTCAGAGTACCCTGACACTGATGCGCCTACGTGGAATACGAATTACGGCGGAGACACGGAGAAGGACAAGCATGCGCAGACGACAGACAAGAGCGACTCGACAGCTGACGACCGTGGCTCCGGTCATTCAGCTGCACCAGCTCCTGCTGAGAGCACGATGACGTACAACTCCGAAGTAGACTCTCCTGCTGGTGAGAAGACAAGATTCCACTATAGCGAGAATCCACACACACCATCCGAGCACAACGAAAGAGGAGTAGAGGAACAACTGTCATTCCGAGAGAAGTCGAGTTCTTCAGGTGGTGGTGGTGGGCAACATGAAGGGAGGGTAGAGGAGTTCACCGTTCCTTGGCGAAATGAAGCTCCCGGCTCACCTGGTTATTCCAGAAACCACGCACTTACGTCAGAGGCCAAGAAGCAGTCCGAGGGGACTGAACATGACGCTGCTAAGGAGACGACAAACGGTGAGCCCGCGCACAATAGTCCGGTGTATGATGGGGTGTTTGGGCGTGTCATCCCGTGGAACGACGGAAAACCTCAACTCGTGATCGGCACCGCAATGGAGAAGCCCCCACCGTATCCTGACCACGCGGAGGCTGACGCATACCCAGAGGAGCAGACTGAATCTCGAGACTACGGTCACCTCTTAGGTGATCTCACCCCGTGGAGAGAGAGCCACTCGCTTCTCCAAAGAGAGCTACAGGCAGCGGACAACGAGCAGCCAACCGAGCAACCGGCCCCTGAGGTAACATCCGACGAGCCCCAAGAGGTATCCGCTGACAAGGCTGCGGATCAAACGGATGATAAAACTGGGGATCAGTCTGCAGAGGAAAAGTCGGCGGAGCAACAAGAGGATACGTCGACGGAGCAGCCAGCCAACCAGCCCACGGAGACGTCCTCTGAGCAACCTTCCGAGTATGCAGAAACTGTGGATGATGGTGAAGTGATGAAGACGACAGCCGTTGTGGATGAAAATGTGAGGTGGAACCAAGATGACTGCAATCCCTGCGATGTACCGACCCAGCCACCGACGTCTGCTCCACTTTACCCTCGGAACGACGATGACTACGAACAGCAGCTTCCAAACGTTACCGATGCATACGAATCGTGGGACCACGTCAAGCGTCCGGAACCAGCATCGACGAAGCCTCCCAAGAAGAAGAAGACGCACAAACCTTCCACGCAGCCACCGCCATCAGAAACACCGTACGAGCGGACCCCATCTCCAGAGACGCCGACGGAGCCGCCTCCAGAAACCCCAGCCACGACGACGACAGAGCTGCCAGCAGAGCCGCCGACAGAGCCACCAGAAGAAACCCCAGCACCGACAACAACCGAGTCACCAACTGAAACACCGTATGGGCCGACCAGTACTCCGCAGCCATCCGAACCAGCGACAACTACCCCGCCAACAGAGTCCACACCAGCTCCGACCAAACCAAGTGAGACTACCCCTGCGCCAAGCGAGCCCACGCCAGCGCCAACGAAGCCCGGTGAGGCCACTCCAGCTCCAACGAAGCCTGGTGAAGCGACACCGGCACCGACTAAGGCTTACGACGATTCAAAGCCGACGCCTGTGTCAACCTCCAAGGGAACGTCGACATTTCCGACGGGGACGAAAGCCACCACCTCCAAGACTGCGACGCCTGTTGCCACGACTGGACCTTCAACGCCTGCAGCAACTTCTGTTGATACTTCGACTGGGAACACGGCGTACGGAACGTCCGGCATTACCGGCGGCTCGAACGACAATGTTGTTGGCGCCTCGACCTCAGAGGGAAACACCTCGAGCGGGTCTTCTGATGCGCTGAGTGGCGGAGCCATCGCTGGAATCGTTATCGCGTGCGTCGTGTTCGCCGCCGTCGTCGTGGGTGCCGTGCTCTACCGACAGCGGTCGATCGCGCGGCAACGCGAGGAGAATTTGTTTGCAGATCTCGCTGCTGGTGGCGCTGGACGCGCCCTCGAGACGGACTATGCAGCGATGTAACCAAGACTCAAGGAGTGAGTTGACCCGCCAGTAAAGCAGTTCAGTTTAGCTTGTTGATCAGAACTCGCCGAACAACAAGGTTTTGTATATCTTCCCTTCAGTTATTCTTCCTGATTGTTGTTGTTGCTGCTGCTGCTGCTGCCTCTTCCCGCCTTCATCCTGGAGGGATTCTTGGTGTCTTCAGGCGACAAACGAGATTTCCCCATCGTCTTACTTCTCGCTGGGTCTCTAGGAGCTGTGGAGCCTGACCTCTTCAAGGTGCTGGTGACTCGGGGTCTATTGGCGCCTCTGTCTGCGGGAGGCGTTCGGCTTGGAATCGAAACGGGGGTCTGCTGCTTCAACAGGTAGTCCAAAGTGACCCCGCGGGCTTTGAGGGCCTCCTCGAGGCGGTCGAGCTGCATTCGAGCCTGCGCCAGGTCACGCTCCGCTTTTTCAGCCCGAATCTCCACCGCATCGGCTGCGTCTTCAGCAAGCTGCCGCAGCCGAGTCTCCTGCTCTTGTGTCTCTCGTGTCACAACTTCCGCTCGCTCCGCTTCTTGAGCAGCAGCCGCAGCTGCAACAAGCTTCTCCTTCAACTGGATCACACTGGCCTCCAGCGCCTCCATGCGCCGAGATTCCTGCGATAACTCGCTCTTGTGCTTGCTGACAATGTTACGAAGCCTGTGCTCGAGCTCGTCAACTTTCTCCCGCAGCTCCAGCTTTTCGTCTACGAGTTTGGTGATCTGAGCAACGCTCTCGGCCAGCTTCTGTTTGCTCGCCTCCTCTTCCCGCAAGAAAGCCTGGTCGCGTTGCTCGAGCTTCTTCTGCCACACCTCAGCTACGTCCGCACGATTCTCCTTGGCGTGCTCTAGTTTCTTCTTCAGCTGTGGCAGCAGTGCCAGTTGGCCTTGAAGTTTCTTCGCGTTGCGCGCCAGTTGCTCGTTCTCCTGGAGTGCGCGCTCCATCTCCTCTCTCTTCTCCTTGAGCAGTTTCTGACATTTGCGCTTGGTCTCGTCGACCGCGAGTTTGCTCTTTTTCAGCGCTTCTTGCAAGGTCGCGATTTCTTGGTCCTTCTTCGCTAGGGCAGCAGCCGACTGATCAGTGATAGAAGCGTTCTGTGACTCGATCTCCGAGACTCGCTGCTGAAGCTCGTCCATGGCGGCTTCGATCTCCTTGTTCCGAGCAGTCAGAGTCTGAATCTGCTGCTTCAGCTTGAGCTCCGCAGCCTTGCTGCTGCTCTGCTTTCCGGCCTGGGAGTCGTTCGACCTATTCCGAGCGGACTCGTTGCCACTACTGCCCGCGCTCTTCTGGGCAGCCGCGCGCAGCTCCTCTTTCTCCTGGCGCAGCAAAACGAGCTCCTTCTTCAGCTCGCGGGCCTCCTGTACCGCTCGCTTCATCGTGCTCTCCACCGCTTTGCGGGCTTCAATCTCCGAGCGCAGGCGACACTTGACAAGACGCTGCAGAGGCAGATCAAGAAGAAGAAGAAGAAGAAGCAACGATGACTCCGTTAGCCAGTCTACCTTCAGCATGATGGAGATGCCAAACCAATTCAGCGCCACGACGACTCACCTCGATGTCCTCCTCCTGCTGCTTTCTAGCGTTAGCTGACAATTGCCCCGACATACTTGTCCGTATGCTGCGCTCTCTTCGTGTTCGCTTCTGCTGGCTAAACTGGGTGTGTTCTCATCGCTTTCACCACACAAATGAAATGCTCGGTCGCAGGTAGGCATTGTTGGAGCTCTGAAAATAGTCGACGAAATTGGAGGCATCGGCAGCGTTTTGAGCGTGACAGATATCCTGGCATCTCGTCGCTTGAGAGATCAGATATCGGCCCAGCCTTGATTGAGTCAAAGCTCTGCTGGAGGGAGGATGGCCTTGGATGCACGCATCAAGACGAAGGGTGAGTTTCACGTGAGCACGGATCGGGGGCCACCGCTGGTAGACCTGAGCTTGAGTGTGGGTGACCAGCCTCCGCGACAACTGGGCATCGAGGGAGGTCCGTTTGCTCGGTGCGGTGAATGCATCTTTTTACCGGAAGTCGCTGGTTTGTGACTTGGCGCATCACGGTTCCAGGCAGGGAGTGGTGCTGGTGAGGTGGCAGGCACTGGGGACGAAGTTCGAAGACAAGGTGCGAAAGCCTTTTCATCGGCGGTGGTCTCTACTCGCTCGCAGTTCTTCCGCTGCTTCGATACGGCCCGTCCTGCAGATATCCATCGTAATGTTGAAGTTGAGCTGAGTGTTGGTCGATGACGTTTTGACTGGTCTTGCTCTCGCGCTCGCGCTAGCAGAGCTGGCTGGACGGCAAGCACGTGGTCTTGGGGCAGATGCTGCGCGACGGTCTGCTGGGCTTGGCCGCCTTCGAGGCCGTGGGGCTCCGCGTCGGGCGGCCGATCGCTCCGGGCAGACGCTCCGAATAAATAACTGTATTGCAATTTTTACGGTATTGTTTCATGGCAATAACTTATTTTTACTCCTTTCTAAAACAATAAAGCTATTTTATTACAAATGTTGCTGTAAATACTTTTATACCCATGGGGTTCTTTTGCAACCTGCGTAATTACACATCGCTTCGATTGACTGGTGGTGGACGCGGTGTCCACGAGCTCTAGCTAGCGACCACACTGTTCCCGGGGGCTGCCACGGCTCGCGTTTTGCAGAGTACACTTCTAAACCTACCAAGAAGCCCAAGACCAACCACAACTACCAACTCTACGATGTCGCTCATCAAGTTCTCCAGCAAGAGCATCTGCACCTACTTCTTCAAGGTCGTCGTGGACGAGACCAGCCAGCCCACCGATTATTTCCGCTGTCATATGTGGCACCGTGCGCAAGCAGGCCCGGGGGACGGGCTACAGCAACCTACTCAACCATGTCCGCAAGGAGCACCCCGACTACGCCACCACCATGGCCGCAAGCGCTCGCTCAGGAGCGCTGACGTCCTTCGTGGACTCCAAAAGCCAAACGGTGTACAACTGGCTAGACCTGAGGGTCGAGTGCAACCTCCCCTTCTCGTTTCCTGAGAATGCGACGGTGCGCAAGTCCATTTGCACGGAGACATTCTTGAAGTACATGCGCCTCGTCTGCGGAGAGGTAGAGAAAGACGTGGCCGAAGCTCTTCCTGCCAAGTTTGACATCGTCTTTGACGGGTGCACCTTCAAGTCGGAGCAGTACGTCGGCGTCTTCGCCGTCTTCCCGCACGACAACCGAGCCGAGACTGTGCTGCTCGCCATGGCCCCTATTGTTGACGACGAGGTCAAAGACCATACGGCGGAGAGCCATGTCGCGTTTTTGTCGACCGTTCTCGGCTTTTTCAATCGCACGACTAACGACATCATCTACGTGGTCGGTGACAACTGCTCGACCAACGGCAAGGTGTCGACATTGCTTGGTGTTCCGCTAGTCGGATGCGCCAGTCATCGCCTTAATCTGGCGGTGACTGCGTTCATGGGAAAACATGAGAAGGAGCTGGAAAAACTCCAAATGTTGATGCGTAAGTTGCGCACACTGAATGCTGCTGCGTGGCTTCGGTAAGTTTTGCTTATGTTTTCGCTGTTTTCAGTATTTTTTGTCCTCTGGTTTTGGTATTATATTTTCCGCTAAAACTTCTGTACTTTATTTTTGCAGGAAGTACACCAACCTTCGACCTGACTTACGCCAGGAGACACGCTGATCGTCAACCTTCAAGATGGTGTCTCGGTTCTTCGAGCTGAAAAAGTTTCTGGAGGCTGACGACGACCTGTCTGAGCTGCTGCCGACGCGTCGCGAGATGAAGAAGCTAGAGGCTCTACTAGAGCAGCTCAAAGATTTTGAGAGTGCGTCCAAGATGTTGCAGCACCAGAACGGCGTAACGCTCTTGGACGTTCGCGATATCTTCGACGAACTGATCGCCATCTACCCTACGGTCTCTAACTACCTCGACGCAGACGCGGATATTGTCAAGAACCACGAGTTCGAAGCCGCATGCGTCGCTGCATTGCGCACCGGGGCCGAAGAGATCACTGCGAAGCAGCGCAAGCTGCTTGAGCCGTTTGCAGTTCGTATCGATGCCAGCCAGCCGGACGACTCGCAGACAGCGAAGATGGGCTTTGCGGACCGCGTGATGAAAAAGCGGAAGATCGAGCGCAAGCAGCAGGCGACATTCCCTGCCGTCAAGTTCGTCCCGCCAACCTCGAACTGCGTGGAGAGGTTCTTCAGTCGCGCTAAGCATACGCTCTCGCACCATCGCCACGGGATGCTGCCAGTGAACCTCGGGGCAGTTCTCTTTTTGAAGGAGAATAGGCGCTTTTGGGGCGCCAACACGGTAATGAAGGTAGTTAACTCGACTTCGCAATAAACGGTTTGGAAAGCTGGTATTTTACCAGTATTGACCGCTGACAAACAATAACTTATTGTTATGGATGCAAGCATTTGACGCAGTAATTTATTTGTAGAGCCTACGTCCGTAAATTTGAGACGGTATTATCGGAGGGTCTGGCTCCTGGTGCCCACTTGCCCCCCCCCCCCCCCCCCCCCAATGTTAACACTATGAAATCGGAAATAGTCTAATGGTGGACTTTCGGCCAATCAGGACCTGCCAGCTCAAATGACGGCGTTTCTTTCGCAGCATGCTGGTATGAAGGCCAATGCTTGATGCTAGGCCGCTTCCAACACTTACTTTTAAACTTGCCATGCTGTATCGCCGGTAAATGATACTTGAAAGGTAACCCACAGCGTACCCGCGATTGCTGCGCTGATTGCTCGCTTGCTGGGCACTCCTCGTTCTGCCGCCATGGCCTCGCACGCGCGCCCGGAAGACGACCTCCTGATGGACGACTTCCTGTTCCAGGAGTCGGACCCGTTCGCGCTGCCGCTGCTGGACTTCGACCCGGACGGCGCGCTGCTGACGCCCACCGAGCTGGCCATAAGCCAGACGCTGCCCTTCCCCGACGGAGGAGGAGACGACAGCAGCAGCAGCAGCAGCTTCCAGCCAACGAGCCCCGTGAGCACCGACGACGGCAGCACAGACGCCGAAGTGTCCTCGCCGCTGCCCGCTTTCGCTCAGCACCAGCAGCTGCCGCAGTTTTGCGCCGAGACGGACGTGGCCTCCTCGCCTGCCGCCAAGGTGTCGCTGCTGGGGTCGACGGCGTCGATGCACTCGCCTCTCCCCAGCGATCAGAAGCTGCTGGCCCCCAGGAACAGTAGCAACAACACCAACAACAACAACATTAGCAGCGCGATGACACCCACGAACGCAGCCAAACCCATGCAGCCGAAGCCGATGATGCCGATGCTGGCGCCGACTCCGTTCCCTGGCGTGCTGCCTTACGCCATGCCGGTGGCGTACTTCCCGCCGCTCAATGCCAGCCAGAAGCGACCGTGTCCTCAAGTGCTTCCCGGCGCTACGACGCCCAACGCGGCCACTCCCCCTGCTGCTCTTCCTGCTACGGCGGCTGAGAACGACCCGAACGCCAAGAAGTCCAAGCGCGAGATCCGCCAGATGAAGAACCGCGAGAGCGCCAACAGGAGCCGCCTGCGCCGCAAGGCCCAGCTGACGACCCTCGCGACGGAGGTGACGGAGCTGAAGAAGAAAGAGCAGGAGCTGCAGACGATTATCGCCGGGCTGCGCGCCGAGAACAAGTCGCTGCTGGACCAGAACACGTTCCTGCGGTCGCTGGTGACAAGCTTCAAGCAGGAGCCGTCGGCGTGCCAGCGCAACCATCAGATGGCTGCGTTCGCGTCGCTGCCGCCGCCTGTGGACCAGAATTGCGTCGCCCTGAACATGTTGGAGAGCGGCAAGATGACCAGCGACACGCAGGCCGAGCCCATGGATCTGACCACGACGCGGCCAGGCAAGCGACGTGCTGTGACGTCCACGTTGACCACCGCGAGTATGGCGGTGTGCGCCTCGGTTTTCGGCATTACTGTGTTTGCCGACTACGAGGGCGGAGCGGTGAACTCGGGCACTGTCCGGGGCGTTGGCCGTGTACTCCACGAGGCCCCGACTGTTTGCGGCATGGACGGGTGCTCTACGGACGGCTCGCTGTCTATGGTGGGCTACGTGGTAGCAGCGGTGAGGTCGTGGTGGCAGTTCGTGTCATCATCAGAGCTGGTATTCGGTGTGCTTCTGAACGTGCTTTCATTTATTGCCATCGTCGCGGTGTACCAGCTGTGGCAGTCTCACTCGGTGGGCGAGTGGTCTTGGAAGAACCCGATGCAGTCCAAGTCGGAGCGCCACGGTGTTGTTTGTCGGCAAGCCAAGTTGTCACCAAGCAAAGCTGACTCTGGTGAGGAGAAGAAGAGTAGCGCCGGTGCTCGAGACGTCCGCCTTCGTGACAAACTCCCCCGTGGCAAGAACAGCAGCAAGGAAGCCTTCATGTAGTGGGCCTTCGTGTCCACATTAGTATCAGTGCGTAATTTATTTCGAGGCTATCAACGCTCAATCAATGGATGTACTCATCATATCTTTCGTCATCTCACAGCTCTTAGATGCGAGCCCCCACTCTATACTTTCTTCCCAAAGTTCATCGATCAACATGCACACCACTTCAAACACTGCAAGGTCTGACAGCGCCTTGAGAAATTAATTACTAGTACCGGTAGAAGGACGATCCGCATCTGTCGTCTTGCGTTCTAATGTCCGCGCAAGGAGCGCTAGCGCACGCGTCATGGCTTCCCGCTCACTCGTGCGGGAGGACTTCGTCTGCATGCTTAACACGGCGCGCATCTCCGACTCCTTGCTATCAGGCTCCAGCTCGATGAAGGCGGCCTCAGGGTAAATGCTGCGGATCACCTCTTCCACCTCCTGGACCTCCTTCTCGACCAGGCGGGTCACATCCTCGGCGTACCAGGCTAGGATGAGAGGAAGGTCGTTCTCCAAATCCTTTGTTTCCAGGAACACGGGCTTGTACCTGTTCGTTCAAAGCAAAGCGTAGCATCATCAGTGCCAAATATGGGAGCAGAGTAAACACGTCACAACGCTTACATTCGCAGCAGTTTGGCAGCCAGATATGTTCCGTCAAAATCGACTTCAGCCTGTGTTTAACACAACAACAATGTCAGTGAAACTCGCACGACCAAAGGATAGCTCTGATCTCCCCGTACCTTGTAGCTGAATGTCGATGGACCAACCCACTGGGACTGGACAGCATACACGTTGTCGATGGACGGACGCGCCAGCAACAGCTCCCGAATTCCCTTCTCGATCTCGGGCTCCACGGACTGACCCAATAGAAACTTCTGGTTCAGACGGATGAGCGACACGGCAACGCCGCCGAGAAGCACACCAATAGAGATACTTGCGAGGCTATCCCATAGCGGGTTGCCTGTTATGTGGCTGGCTCCGATACCGCACCCGGCCATGATGACACCCGTGCACGCCGACATGTCCTCCAGCAGCACCGCCATCATGAACGGGTCCTTCGTCCGCTTCACGTGCTGGTAAAACGACATGTTCTTGGGCTTGGACGCCAGCAGGTCCTGCACTGACCGCTTCAGCACCCAGCCGTCGATGCCGAAGGAGGCCGCAAGCACGCACCAGACCTCCCACGACAGGAAGAGCTCCTTCGGGGGGTCCAAAATGGTCTGGATGCCGTGGAAAATCGTCACGCCCGAGCCCAGCCAGAAGATTCCCAGCGCCGAGATGAGCGACCAAAAGTACGCGGCGCGACCGTATCCGTACTGGTGCTTCTTGTCCGGCACGCCCGAGGCCTGCTTCAAGCCCAAGATGAGGACGGCCTGGTTGCCGGTGTCCACGAGCGAGTGGATCGCTTCCGAGAGCATGGCGCTGGAGCCAGTCTTGAGCCACGCCAGCACCTTGAGCGTCGTGATGGCCGTGTTGCCCGCCATGGCCCGGAACACCACGTCGCGCGACGTGGAGCGGTACACCTTGCCCGGGAAGTAGGCCTTGTTGATGTCTGTGCGCGGCTTGGGCGTGGGGTACGTGGGCTCCACGATCTTGGTCAGGAACGGCTCGTCGTCGTCATCGTCGTCGTCGTCACCGGCGATGCCCATAGTTGCGCTCTTGCCGTCTTTCAGCTTCTTGCCGTCCTCTGGCGTCGTGGCCTTGGCGTCGGGCGCAACAGTCGCCAGCCAGCGGAACGACGGCGGCTGCGTCAGCAGCATCGACTCGCGGCTACGCCGCGGCGGCAGCACCGCCGGCAGCGGCGCGCGACGGCGTAGCGGCGCGAGCGACAGCCTGCGCAGACTCTGCGGCTGCCGCAGCGACGGCCGCGTGGCCCGCAGCGCGCGCAGAGAGCCCAGCATCGCCACAGAGCGAATGGTGATGGGTAAGCTGGCCCCAGCTTGGCCGTGGTGTGGTGTGTGTGGCGCACACCACGATACAACACAGATCAAGCGAATGTTACTACAATGGACTCGCGTTAAGAGCACCTTTAACTCTTTCAGTACCGTGGCTGCACAACATTTGCCTAAAGCGCCTTTAAGCCCAACGGCGCCTTTAAGCCAAAAAGAGGGGGTGAATCTGGGGTGCTGCAGTGTACTGGAGCAGATCCCCGCAATTAGAAAACTAGCACCGAGTTGCGGCAACGGGTCCATCCGCTGGAATGCCTGGTGTAGGACCTATTAAGGTAATACCTCCGCAAAATCGCGCAGACCTGCTTCCGCGCAGGTTTGCTTAGATGAGCCCATGACACCCGTCCCACTGCTATCCGTCAATACAAATCCCTTATTATTCTGATCTGTGTAAAGGTTTGCTTCTGTACACAGACTTTGCACAGATTGCTAGGGCGCCCCACGATACAATTGAAAAATCAATATTAAATTTCAGAATATTGAAAGCAGGCGAGGCGCAACATGAGACCGAGAGCGAGCAGCGCGCGACTAGCGGATTACTTCGTGGAGGTCGTCGCGGAGCCAGCGGGTGAGTGCAGCAGACTGCGAGCCGTGCGCGCGTGACTGACGGACTGACCGACGGACTGACTGAGGCGTGGTAATTTGCAGACGCGTCGCAGCAGCAGCAGCGAGGCGAAGACTTCGAGCAGCGCGTCGTGACGCGGATCCCGTCCAGCGACCACGAGGACTTCGCGCTGCCTGACGGGGTGCCGTACGTACGTTGCCAGCTTAGTACCGTGCCCGATTTTGTATTTGGTGTTGGCACACTGACTGGCCCGACTGGTCGTGTGCTGCTGCTGCTGCTGCTGCTGCTGCTGGCAGTTCTGCATCCCGGGGAGCGAGGCGTTTTTCGAGCCGTCGGTGTACGAGCGCAAGCCCACGTTCTTCTCCTTTATTCTGACGGGCGGGGACGGCGCCCATGCCTACGGGTTCGCGCTGCACTTCTTGGAGGAATATTCTACTGCTGGTGCGCTGCGTAAATCCGTGTCTGCAGGGCTCATGGCGATCTAACCGCATTATTGTCGCTGTGTTGCGTGCCTGAAGCTTCGAACTGGAGACCTCGAGTGCTGTGCTTGATTTCGCACCACCCGTTCTTCTCGCTGTTCAAGGAGATCGTTAGGTAAGCGATATATACTGTCTGGTAGTGGCCATTGGCGGGTGTCTGTGTGCTAAGAGTTCGCCCGTCCGTGTTGACTGGGTACATGTAGCTGGATGTACCGAAGCCGGTATCTTAAGAGGGAGCACTCGCTCGTGCAGACCAAGATCGCCTATGCGTGTGAGGATTGCAGCTGGTTTCTCTCTCCAAGACACGCAGCATCTGCGTTGTTATCTGAACAGCGGCTGTTGAGTAGCAGCAAGGGGCCAATAGATCGGATCCGCGCTTCAACCCCGGATTGGAAAGATACTTCTGACGATAACAACAGCGAGGTCCGAGAGCAGTACCATCGCATCCTCCCGCAGCTCCTTCGCGAGGCTTACCGTCCAGCTCAGGGCGATGCACTCGACATACGGATGCATGGGCGCGAGTTCTTCCGCTACCATGTTCAGCGGGGGAAGGCTGCGCATCTGGATGACTACTGCTTTCAGATGCTGTTCCAGTGTTTGAGTCTCAAGAACGTCATTTACATCGTCAACTGCCTGCTTCTGGAGCAGAGGGTGTTGGTTCATTCGAATGTACGAGCGCATATAATCTGTTCGTTGCTTTCGGTTGGGAAGTCTAACAGTTGCTGTTGCTGTGATTGTGAATTTAGCACCAAGGACTTCTTACACCGATCTGCGAAGCGCTTTGCGCGTTGCTGTTTCCATTTAGCTGGAGGCACGTTTTCATCCCGTTTCTACCAGTAAAGCTGATCGAATATCTGCAGGTAGGTGCCGAGTGTTCCATGTATTCAACTTGCTGTTAGAATATTGAGCATACTAATTGATGCTTGGCTGCCTCAATTTGTTTTGCTATACAGGCCCCAGTGCCGTATTTTATTGGTCTCCACACTAGTTCGTTGGCTACACGTGTGGGATCCGAAATGTTTTCTTCATGCGTTGTCGTGCACCTTGACAAGGATAAAGTCGTATCCCCGATTTTTTCGCGAGTCGAAGGCTATCCTGTAGACTTTGTTTTGCCTCGGCTACCCTCCAAAGAGGTTACCGTCCTACTTGCAACGCTGGAAGATGTCATTCCAAGCCCGATCGGCACTTCTCAACCTCGGAATCCTACTTTGGAGTCTCCCCAGACGGAAGCAAACACTGTCAATGAAGTAGAGTTGACGTTTGGTGAAGGCCCGGTAAGTCTCTTTGTCAGCTTCTTGAAGGCGGCGTCATCGAAGTACTGACGCGAATGTATTGACGTGTATTAGCTTGGAATCACCTTCGAGTCGACCCATCTCCGTCTTCTGGCGGCTAGTAACTTCGATCCTGAACGGCAACTCGGTGGATCAGCGGTTGTAAAGGCGCTACCGAGACTTTCGAATGGACTTGCAGGCCCAGCAGAGCGTTCAGGATTGATTTCCGCTGGGAGTTATCTGATTGGTATCAACGGCCAGTCCACGCTGGACTTGACGTTCGAGGAGACCATTGACCACCTGTGCCGAGCCAGCCGCCCCATTCGCCTGCGGTTCCTGAACGCCACGCTCCCTTACGAGAATGCGTGCCATTTCGCTGAGCGTCTTCAAGCGCTATCGCTGGTTTCGGCTCTGCAGACCGTACACGAAAACCAGTTGTTGCCATGGGTGGATACACTGCGTGGCGCTTTTGCTGGCATGTTCGCTAGCATTTTTTGCGACTACCAGCGGTATATTGATGTACACCGTCGAGAAGCGGACACTGTTGATCGCTCGGGCAAACACCACGTGGTACCGACGCCGGAACAGTATGGTCAATTTCGACGCCGTTCGTCAGCACTAGCTTTCTGCGTGGAGTTTGACTGCGAGTCCTTCTGCAGCGCAGTACCAACCAACCAGCGGTTCCTCGGCGAGTTTACACAGACTCAATGCTTCGCCGATTTCATCAACGAGAGCGTAATGGGAACTCGCCCTCGCGATGCGTCCATCTCGATGGAGCTTTTCCAGGAGTGCCTGTACCTTATGCACGAGGCGAGCAACCCGAGGGCTGCTATCAGGCTCCTATTTGAACGGGATGGGTCGCCAATCGAGTCGAAGGTGCTGGATCTGCCCATGAATCAGCCACAAGGTGGTTATTTGGCTACGAAGACGAAAGACTTTGGAGACGCAGACTTCAAGCCCAGCCCCATCGATGTTCGGTCCAGCTTTGAGCACACGGGTGCGAGTTCTGCCGGGGAGGAGCTGCTTCAAGATTCGCCGTATTCATCGTCGCCTCCCTCGCCGCTGGAGGGGAAAACAAACCCAGAGGTGGAGAACCCTGAGGCTGAATCTCTTGATCCGATTGAGACACAAGAGGTGTTCATCGCAAGATGATCGGTGCCTAGATATTATTTACATCGGGACTCCAGCAAACGCACGATATTGTAAATCGCTGCACAGGCTTGTTGCCGAGCCGCTTCTTCTCTTTATCGCACTTATATTTCGACTCGGAACGCACCGGACAACTAGCCACTGCCGCCGCGCAGCATGGGCGACGGGGTGAATCCGGCGCCACCCACCTGTCCGGCGTCCGTAACCACGATGGGGCTGGTTGGGCGGCCCGACGCGGAGCCCACGGCCTCGAAGGCGGCCAAGTGCGGCAGGTCGTCGCGCAGCACCTGCCCAAAGACCACGTGCTTGCCGTCCAGCCAGCTCGGCTAGCGAGTCAAGTCAAACGTCAACCACCAACGCTCCGGCCAACTTCAACATCAGCATGGATGCCTACCGCGCCGAAGCAGATGAAGAACTGCGAGCGGTTACTCGAGTTCTGGTGCGCCATGGACACCGCCCCCACCTGGTGCTGCATGCGGTGGTTAGTTTGCGCCGGGTCGAACGCAACGCATTCCCCCACACGAACCTTGAAGAGGAAGCTCTGCCCCAAGCAAGAGACGCAAGCGAGGTGATATTAGAGGATCGACTAGAGGCCACCGCCGATGGGAAAATTATCGCACCTCGTCTTCGAACGTCGTTCCTAGCGCTGCCACTCCCCCAGCGCCATTCCCGTGTGTGATGTCGCCGCCCTGCATCATGAAGCCTGGGGTGACGCGGTGGAAGCGCGTGTTATTGTACCACAGCGCCTTCACCTTCCCTTTGCCCCTCAGTTCGCCTGCACAAGCAGCAGTCGTAGCTGCTCAGATTGTCGGGAGATAGCAACAAGTGCCAGTAGCCGAGGCACTCACCAGTGCAAAGTAGACGAAAGTTTTCGGTCGTGATAGGTAGCTCCTCATGGAAGAGCTCAATATGCAGTCGTCGCGAAGGCTGGTCACCCACGCCCAAGTCCAGGTATACCAGCGGCGGCCCCCGATCCGCCCCAACGTGGAACTCGTCCTTCGTCTTGATGGGTGCATTCAAGGCCATCCCCCTGCAGAGCTTCGACTCAATCAAGGCTGTGGCGAGCTCCTCAAGCGACGAGATACCACGATATCCGTCACGCTCGACACGCTGCCGATGCCCAATTTCGTCGACTATTTCCAGAGCTCCAGCAATACTTCGCTGCGATCAAGACCTTCATCTTTGAAGCAAGCACACCTAGTTTAGCCAGCAGGAGATAACTCGAGAGGAGACAGCAAGCAGAGCATACGGGCCAGCATGCCGTCAGTGGACGCTACAAGGCAGCACGTGGAGGACATCGAGGTGAGTCGTCCCAACGCAAGATTTGCTCACCCAATTCACGTGTTGAAGAGTGTTGAAAAGGTAACCCCGACTGACAAACACCAACTCTCCACTGGCACAATCAACTTGCACGCTTGTCATTCCAGCGTCTTATCAAGTGTCGCCTGCGGTCGGAGGTCCACGCCCGCAAAGCAGTCGAAAGTGCCATGAAGCGCGCAGTGCTCGAAGTCCGTCAGCTAAAGAAGGAACTGATGGTACTGCGCCAGGAGAACGAGGAGCTACGTGCTGCTGTTGAGACGAAGCCGAACAATGGTGGTGGGAAGGAATCACCCATCGAATTGAAGAACGACCAGATCCAAAGACTCACGGCACGAAACAAGCAGCTCGAGTCCAGTGTGCTCGAGCTTCAGCAGCAAGTCGCAGGCCTCGAGCCACAGAGCACCACCACGATCGACCAGTCAACTGCCTTAGCCGAGAAAGACCGGGACATCGCGGCCCTGGAGGACGAACTCGCAAAAATCAAACTTGTAGCCGACGAAACCAAGCGCAAGTGCCAAAACATGCTCAAGGAGAAGAGGGATGAAGCGCAGCGAGCCCTCCACGAGAACGAGCAACTAGCGCGCTGCGCGAAAACGCTCCAGAGCCAACTGGCGCTGCTGCCGCAGCTTAAGAAACAACTGGAACTCGCAAAGGAGAAACGCGCTGACATGGCTGGGGCGTGGCAGAAGAAGCTCGAGCAACGTGACCAGGAATTTCTGCGGGAAGAAGAGGCGAGCAAGCAGAAGCTGGCCGAGAGCGCCTTCCAGATCTCAGAGCTCACCGAAGAAAAGCTCGAGCTCCAGGAGAGATTGAACGAGCTGGAAGTCAAGCTTCGTCAATTTGAGAGCAGCCACAAGAGCGAGCTATCACAGGAATCTCAGCGTACGGGTGAGCTCGAGACCAGCGTAAACCAGTGGCAGGAAAGAATTGTTGCAAACGTAGCGGAGCCGACTGAAGTTCTGGCGCGAGAGACGCAAGAACAGGAGACTCAACTACGGCTCACTGACGATGTGGCTGGTGCAATGGAGGTTCAGGATGGCCACGACTTGATGCAGGCTCGAGAGGCTCCGAAAGCTCTTCCATGTTCAGTAGATAGGATGGAGCTCAGCAGCAATAACGAGGATGACAGGGACCCGTAGGAGAGTCAGATACGCGTAGGGTATAGTTTGACCGGCGCGACTCCGATTGATACCTCGCTATTGTTCACAATTTATACTGCCGCACTGCCGTTGCTATTCGCCACCGGATCTGCATGTGCTGGCTTGCCCAACTTGAGACTGTCCGAAATTGGCGAGGCTGCACACGGATCAATCTCGGCTGTGCCCCCATTTGTTGCTGTTTCAAGGTCGGCGGATATAGGTATCGGCTTGGCAACAATTGTAGTACCCGAAGGATCCCTGTCGAGTTGAATAGAAGTATCAGCGGGATTGCCACCATCATCACTCGTCGTCACTCCATTCGGCATAAAACTCATTCTCGAGCTTGTGCATGTTTCCACTGAGTCATCACTGGTCATCGCTGGAACTGCGCACGCTTGCTTGATGGAATCCCTGTGAGCTTGATTGAGATCGGCCGAAGTCGATGGTCTACGTTTTCCAGAAGAACAGCTTGCATCATCGTTTAAAGCCTCTTTGGTGACTTCACGTGGTATTGCAGCACTGGAGACGATAGTGCCGATACTCCCGCAATATGTCCTTGTAGCGACACAGCCATCGAGGTTGGCACTGGTGCCCTTGTTATTATTCCCACCACCAGCTTCGGTGGGATCGGTAATTCCCGCTGCGATTGCGAGCTTGAGACCGCCGTTTGATGATACATCGGCGGTGGATGGAACAGCTTTGGCATCGTAAGCAACGTCTGCCACAACACCAGCGATTTCAGCATTGCTCGTAGCCAGTACTCCAGCGACAGCTATCTCCGAATTAATATCAGGCGCCATAGCTAGCCGCTCGTTTGAGTTAATCGAATCCTTCAGCATACCATAACCCGGTTCATTCATAACACGTGACCCGTCCATATTTTTCGCGATACCTTCTTCACCTTGCTTCACAACCAACGAATACGCTCTTTCTTGCTGTGGATCCGATGCCCCTTGCGTCGTCACATGGTCGCCGTTGTCAGTATTACCAAGGGGATATGCACCAGAAGAATGGACATCACATACATCGAGCGAGGCACGAGAACCAACCGCGTCAGTAGCTGATGTTGTCCCAGAATCTTTTGCCAGATGACCTCCCTCATCGTTCTCGTTGCTGGCTGACGTCGATGTCGATGGTGCAGAACTCGCCACAGCCCTTCCTTCTGCTGGAGTCGATACTTCATGCCCATTAATTTCTTGGCTTTTTGGCGCTGCTGCCCTTCCTCGTGGTCGATTTCCAGATCGTTTGTTGGTCGGTTTCCTGTGTGTCCTTCGAAGCTCGTCATCATACCGAGAATTGAGATATCGCGTACGTTTGCCAGCCACACGGACTTCGCGCCACTCCTCCTGTTTCTTTAGCTGCTCTTGGTACCTCCGCCAAATCTTTGCGGCTTGGTATCGCATGAAGTCTCGCTTGCAGAAAATCACAATCGTCCTATTCTCCACGCGGGGAGGATTATCTGCACAAGACGGAGCAGCGGCGATAGCTGTACTCGGAACAACTTCTGCAGACGCCCCCACAGGCGCAGGTAACGCACTTGAAACTGGCTGCTGCTCACCACGCACAATGCCCGGCGCATTCGATCCTGGCTGAGGCAACTTGGTTGTACGTCTCCTTCGTGACGATTTGCCTAACTTTCCGTTTGCTGCCTTATCCGTGTTAAGCGAGGGTTGGACGCTTTTCGTCGCTTCAACCGGGACAGCGAGTTTAGGAGGCTCTTGTCGTTGCTCAAACTTCCCATTCATCAGATCATCCGAAATACACGACGAGTTGGCTTGATAATTGACTTGAACAAGAACATCCACCTGTTTTGCGGTCGTGACAATACTCGCCTGAGGTAGTTCGGATAGCTGCTCATTTGAGGAAGCTGTTGGCTCTGAAGTGGCCTGTATCGGTATGCTGGGCACGCTGGTGCCTACGGACTGTTCCTGAGTCCGAGACTCTGGTGGGAATCCGGTCTTCTTCCTTTTGTATGAGCCCCTCTTCTGCTTCACAGGGGTCGCTTCCGCAGCGACAAGATCCACAGACTTGTTGCTGGTTTGGCGAGCAGGAACCTGGGCCGCAAGAATCGACAGTTGTGGCTCAGGCGTTTGAATCCCCGGAGTTGACGAGTTCGCAGCTGTAGTGCCAGATTTTTGCTCCAGTGCCCGAGCAGCTCTAGACTCCATGAACGCTAGATACATGGGAGAGGCTGGCTTGCTGGCCAATGCAGGACCCCCACTCGGTGCTAGACTTGGATTTTGACTCGGCCGTACCGATCTGTTCATCGGTGGATGTTGGGGTCTTTGCTCGTTTGGTTGCTGAGGCATTCTCTGCCGCTTGGCCGGTGTTTTCTTCTTCGGCGCCTTGCGCTTCTGGGGCGCTCGCTGCTGGTTGCCCCGTGGCCGGCCCCGTGACTTGTCCGCCTTAGCCTCATCACCATTGAGCAAATCTCGCATAGTAACGAGGCGTATCGGCTGCGACGCCAACGATACCCCAGGTACGATCACAGCGCCAGTCGGTGGGACTGTCGTCCGAGACTGCACTTCCATTTGCGTTTGCATGCCTAGAGGCGGCTGTGCCTGGGTCCGATACTGCGTCGGTGCGAACTCAAACGCGTTGCCACGAGCTTCGATACTTTCACAGTTAGACCTGGCTGGAACAGCAGTGGATCGCGTGGGGGCTTCACCAACAGTCTCACTGCTCGCAGGGAAGTGCCTCATGATTCCATCCAAGAAAAAGACGTCGGGAACGGATTGGCTCGCATGACTCCGCGCGGGTGGCTCCTGGTACTTCCGTTCACTAGGCTCAGCAGCGTAATATGGTTGCGGCTGCTGCTGTTGCGGCACAAATCGCGGGTCGCTCTGCATCTGGAACGACTTTGTCCTAGCTGCCTGCATCCCTGAGAGTGACATCGATTCACTTCGCCCCCACGACTGCAGCGCACTTGCCCCAAAGAGATTAGTACTTCTCGCCCGGAAATGTGACTGCGCTGGCTTCGGCATCTGCTGCGGAGCGAACAGCGCGTCGTTTCTGTTTGCCAGCATCCCTGCCGGTGGTGAGCCTTCCCCATAACTAATCGCGGGGTACGAACCTGTGCCTGTCGGAGTCGTCGCGGGCCTTATCGGCACCGGCTGAGCACGTTGTTGGAAGTCTCCACCGTAAAATCTGCCGTTCTGCTGCATCTGCACTCCATGCTGCATCGCAGCCCCTTGGATCCTGTCACTGTCCGCGCCGCTGAAGCTCGACGCAGCCGACGACTGCGCGTACGCACCGTTATTCCATCTCGTCTGGTCAAAGCCACCGAGGCCGGACGAGGAGTACCGGGGCTCCTGTATCCTCTCCACCTGCCTCTGGACCTGGGCCTGGTGGTGCCTGTGAGCCTGTTCCTGCTGCTGCTGCTGAATCTGCGCCTGGAGTTGGTGCAGCTGCCTCTGCATGTCCTGCTGCTGCCGGCTCTGCGTCACCGCCTGCAGCTCGCGCTGCTGCTGCTCGAGCTCTTGCTTGGTGCGGCGCTGCTGCCAGTCGTCGCTGGACGTCGAGGGCGCGTGCATCCCCACGAGCACCGACGCCGCGTCGCTGCGCTGCACCGTCATGGGCACCATGTGGTACGTGCCGCTGGACGGGTACCCGAAGGCGGAGAAGCCGCCGAGCTGCGGCACCTCACGGCTCCTTTGGTCGCTCGGGCGGTACAGCGGCGCCTGTTGCTGCTGCTGCTGCTGCTGCTGTAGCTGAAGCGGGTGGCGGCGCTGCGTCGGCAGTGGCTCCGTGTCGTGGAAGGCGCACAGCGCGCGCGCCGTCTCCTCGTCCGACAGCGACGACGCCGTGCCCCACGCCGGGTCGGCCATGGCCAAGCAATGCACTCGATAACTGGGCTGCAAATCGCTTCTCTCTTGGTTTTAGTATGGGAGGGCCCCGCTATATAAGACTGACTGACGGACGCGCGCTATTAACGTTAGTTAGGCGTGGCCGAGCTCCTTGAGCGAGTGCTGGGCCGAGCCGCGGCGCAGCGGCTTCTGCTGCGACTCGTGCGGCGACCAGCCGATGAGGTAGATGACCTGGAACGTGGCCGGCACCGTGCCGTCGGGCTGGCCGAACATGGACTGGTAGATGGAGGCGGCGGCCAGCAGCGAGTCGCGCGAGGCGGGGGCGCCGCGCGACTGCACGGCGTGGTTCTCGCCCATGCCGCGCAGATGCTCCATGAGCACGAAGGCGTTCGGGTAGTCCACCTGGATGTAGTCCGTGTCCACTGCGTGCGCAGGATACGGTAGTAGCGGCGGTGAGGCTCACATGACAGACAACCAGACCGATAGGTAGGAAGGAGGCCGCACCTGTGCACAAGTTGAAGCCCGTGGCCGACAGCAGGTTGCCGGCGTCGGCGACGTTCATGAAGGGGGAAATGTGCGGCGAGATGCCGCCCTGCCGCTCCTGGTCGCCGAGGATGAAGGCGCTCCTGTTGCGGGGGGGGGGGGGGGGGTAACACGCCGCGATCAGTACATGTGCTCAAGGCGCGCATTACCAGCGACGAGCGCAACGTACCGCAGCTCCTGCAGCGAGTCTCCGCCCAGCACGGCGCCGATGAACGCGCCGTCGGGCTTGAGCGTGTCGAGCACCTGGTGGAAGGTGCTCTCGAGGTCGTTCACCCAGTGCAGACTCAGAGAGCTCATGACCAGGTCGAAGTGGTGCTTGGGGAACGGAAGGAACTCCTCGTCCACCACCATGCGCGCCGTCTCCACTGCAGGCACATAAACACCAAGCGAACGAGCGTCAGAGCAGCTCAATAGCTACTGGTGCAGTAGCAACACACCACGTACGAATAGTGCTCTCCGTATCCAGTTCATCGCGCAGGAGCAACTTCTCTACAAGTAGGCACAAAGGAACAGATCCAGTTAGCCGACGAACGGAGCCGATCCTCCGCAACGCATTGTACGCGCCAGCGGAGTCGCATTGGATCAGCTTCTTGACGCCTCCGAGCCCGTCGTCCACGCTCAGGTTCTTGTAGAGGTGCCCGCTTCCGCAGCCCAGGTCCAGCGCCAACGGGAACTCGCGCTCAATGTCCTGCCGCGCAGACAGCACCACAGCCACACCTCTGTCACCTTCGTGCTCGACGAGATTTCAATGCCATTGCTGTTCAGTGGCCACACACACCTCCAGGCGGTCAATCAGCCGGCGCGCGACCTCGTCCTTGAGATACTCGTACTCGTCGCTGTTCTCCAGGAGCGCGGCGTTGTTGCGCTGCTGCCTCTTGATGGCTGTTGCGAGCAGCACACAGAGGGATGGTCCTTAGTCCGTCCGCCCAAGAGGCCCAGGGCTCCCCTCACCATGGAGCTCCAGCCACACACACGCACCTCGATTGAAGATCGGCGCCGTGGAGAAGGAGCGCTTGGCCACGGAGCGCTGCGCCAGAGCAGCGATGCGGTTCTGCAGTGGTAGGCACACAGGAAGCAACAGCAGCAGCAGCAGCACATGGGGTCAGACGGAGAGGCTCGTACTCATGGGCAGACGCTCGCCGCGGCGAGTATCAAACCATTTGTGCGGCGCTGGGCTCTTGTTACGAGTGAGGAACGAAAATGGCCATCAAATGGCGGTGGAGACATAGACGGGAGGCGGCAAAGCTGCTGCAAGGAGCTACCAACGACAAGGCTGGACGCCGCGGATGATAAAGGAAGAGATAAATGCTTATTCAATGCTTAAACGGTGGATCGACGCCGACAACCTGTCGTCTGGAAGAGCGAGAGGGAGGAAGTTGACACTATGATCCCTTGCTGCCAACGCCTGCGACGGTCCTGCGCCGCTCGCCTTCTTCGCCTGGGCCGGCCTCACACTCAGTGCTTGCTGGAGCCCTTGCCGCGCCACGGCGCGCTGTCGCTGAAGATCGGGATGAAGTTGTTGATGGCGTCGCGCTGGTTCTGCACGATGCACTCGCAGATCCACACCAGGTTGCGCACCTCCTGCTCTTTGAGCTTCACGTACGCGTAGAAGCAGGCTGCAGCAAGGCAAACACGACTCGAGTGAGCGACGACACAACGCCTTGCACATTTACTGAGTGAGAACCGCAGGACGAAACGTACCGAAGTGCATTTGGCTCTGGAACGCTAGCTCGGCCATCTGCACGTCGCGCTCGTAGAAGGCGTCGTCGATCGACTTGCTGTCCACGCCCTCGCCCTGGTGGACCTCCCAGATCTTGCGGTACACCGGGAACGAGTCCAGTGCCGCACCCAGCGCCGATTCCTCGCCGGCTTCCGCCAGCAGCGCTGTTGCATCGGGGTATAGCGCGCCAATGGACGGGTACAGCGGCTTGCGGTCCGAAATACGCATCGCGGGCTACGATCGCAGACACACGAAAGGAATGGTCAGTCTCCGAGTCTTGAGCAAGATAGATGGTAGGTAGAAGAATGCGTACCTCGTTCAACGGCGTGCCGAACGAGTTCAGCGTGATGTTGATAGCGATGCGGTCAGCTCGCGCCGCGAGGATCTCTCCCATGATGGCGGCCGTCTCGCCTCCAATCTCCTGCAGTCAGTCGACAAAAGGAAGTGTTCGTCAACGATCTCTTGGAAAGAAAACAAATGACGTCGTCTAGAGCGGCGCACCTGGCAGAAGTTGTAGAAATCTTCGAGCCAGAGCTTGAGCATGCTGTTCTTGATGAGCTCCATCTGCACTTCCTCCAGCACATTGCGCACGTCCGACGTGCCTTCCATGCGGTCGCCGCCGGCGCTCTCCTCCAGGAATTGGCTGAAGTACGTTCCTGCAACATTGAATGCCACACAACATCGTGAGACCCACGAGGAACAGGCAGACATTTACGTGAACAGGATCGTACCGATGGGGGTATCGATCAGCACAGTCTCGTACAGGTCCGAGTAGCCCTTGGCATTCGGCTCGAACGTGCAAATGCTGCGCATGATGGACTCGTTGAACTTGCCCAGTGGGTGGAGCTGTCGACATCGCATTTTCAGACAATAAATTAGACTCAGCACAGTGACAGTAACTCAGCACACTGCTAATTCCGTCTGTCCGCACCTGCCCGATGAGCTCGTTCACGTCGCGTCCGTTAAGCGTGCCCTTGAGGAGCAGGATCACGTTGTCGATCATGTACTCGTACCTACAGCGCAGTTACAAGTTAGTCAGTGACCCTTACGCATCCACGTCTGCAGCCAGACACGCACGTGATGAAGTCCAGGAACTGGCCCAGCGGCTCCATGGCCTGCGCGCGCAAGAAGTTGAACTCCTCCACCAGCTTGTTGGTCGTACCGGCCTGGATCAGGCCGGGCGAGATGGTGCCCGACTGTAGCAGCAGCAGCAATGTCGAACAGCATCAAAGCCGTCAGTTCTAGGAGCTCTTCTCCTCCCCCTTTTCTCTCTACGCCCTCCTCCCTTCTACTGCCGACGCACCTCGTCCGCCAGGAACTGGTCGTAGTCCGTCTCCTGCAGGTTCAGCTTCACATCTGCACGGGCCAGCAGCGACGATACGTTAGCTCTTCTCCTCCTATTGCCGCCTGCAGTCCTGCTTCCTCCAACCTTCGAGGCTCTCGCACTGCGTGAGGTGGTGGTAGTCCACGTCGTCCAGGAAGCCCGAGCGGAAGCCGCGCACCAGGCCCTCCACGTAGCCGTGCTGGATGTTGAACGTCGTGATGTCCCCTGCCGCCACCGCCATAGTCTCTTGGGTGTGCCTCGAAGAGCTCCCTTACAAGAATCTTTCGAAACGCCAAGTACACCACTCGGTAACTTTCACTTATGTGAACCACTCCATGGCAAAGTTGTAGAGTGGAGTATATCGTTGCATTATCGGCCACACACAGCGTATCATTTCGCTACGATCGACATGTTGCGCTGCCGCCTGCGTGGGGCGCTGTCGGCGCGGCGCAGCTTCGCGACGGCGTCGGCTGCCGCGTCCTCGCGCGCATGGGAGCCCATCGAGACCAAGTGGCAGAAGCGCTGGGCCCAGCAGGAGCTGCAGACGCCGACGCCCAACAGCAGCAGCAGCACCGGCGGCAAGGACCCATTCTACTGCCTCGCCATGTTCCCGTACCCGTCGGGTGAGTGCTGCAATAGCTCTTGCTGAGGATGGAAGTGCTATTGCAATTGCCATTTCTATTGCTACTGCCTGCCATTGGCGACTAACTGACTGACTGGCTGACTGAATGGATGACGCTGCCAGGCCAACTGCACATCGGGCACGTGCGCGTGTACACCATCAGCGACTGCATGGCGCGCCTCAAGCGCATGCAGGGCTACGACGTGCTGCACCCCATGGGCTGGGACGCCTTCGGGCTGCCGGCCGAGAACGCGGCCATCGAGCGCGGCATCTCGCCCGCCGATTGGACCGTGGCCAACATCGCGCAGGCCAAGCAGCAGCTCCAGGCGCTCGGCATCAAGTTCGACTGGGACCGCGAGGTCACCACGTGCGCGCCCGACTACTACAAGTGGACGCAGTGGATCTTCCTGCAGATGTTCAACAAGGGGCTGGCCTACCGCAAGGAGGCGCTCGTGAACTGGGACCCCGTGGACAAGACGGTGCTCGCCAACGAGCAGGTGGACGCAGAGGGCCGGTCCTGGCGCTCCGGCGCCATCGTAGAGCAGCGCTCGCTGAACCAGTGGTTCCTGCGCATCACCGAGTATGGAGACCGGCTGCTGGACGACCTGGACAAGGTGCGATGAGCCACACAATGGGGATCACGGCTGTCTAGGGACTTGAGCTAACCTATTTTGTATTGTGCGATGCGGTAGCTCACCAAGTGGCCGGATGCCGTCAAGCGCATGCAGTCGTCGTGGATCGGACGCTCGCAGGGATCGCAGGTGCAGTTTCAGGCGGTGCTGGATGCCGATGCCACGCAGCCGATCCCGTTGACCGTGTTTACTACCCGTGTGGACACGCTCTTCGGTGTGAGCTTCGTCTCGATGGCCCCTGACAGTATTGGAGTTGAGGCTCTCCTCCCTCATGTCCCCGCAGCCCAACGCGCTGCTGTCGACGCCTACGTCACTAAGGTGCGAGCCATGAGCAAGGACGACCGAGGCAAGGGCGACACGACGGCTGGAGTGTTCACGGGTCTGTATGCGTGCCATCCGCTCACAGGCCGACACGTGCCTATTTACTTGGCCGAGTACGTGCTGCCGCATTACGGCACAGGCGTGGTCATGGGCGTGCCGGCGCACGATAGCCGAGACCTCGCATTCGCGCGCCACCACAACCTAGAAGTGCGCTCTGTGGTGGGGAGCAGCGATGGATCTGTCTGCAACGAGGACGAGGTGTTCACAGAGCATGGAGTGCTGCGCGACAGCGGCGAATTCTCTGGTATGACGTCTCAGGAAGCAAGCTCGGCCATCAACGCTCGCCTCGAGGAAAAGGGCGTTGGCGGTGCCACGACGCAGTTCCGCTTGCGCGATTGGCTTGTGTCTCGTCAGCGTTATTGGGGTACGCCCGTGCCGATCATTCACTGCCCGTCCTGTGGACCTGTTGGTGTACCAACTGAGCAACTTCCCGTCGAGCTGCCGCCTGTGGGGCAGGATGTCGCTGACGACCTGCGCGGGAAGGGAAGCAGCGACTCTCCTCTGGCGCGTATGGCTGGCTGGAAACACTGCACGTGCACACGCTGCGGCGGCGAAGCAGAGCGCGATACCGATACTCTGGATACGTTCGTTGACAGCTCATGGTATTACATGCGTTACTGTGACGCCCGCAACGATACTGCTGCATTCGAGCCTGAGCAAGCGCGGACGTGGCTGAAGAAAGCGGGCGTGGACCTCTACATTGGAGGCATTGAGCACGCCATTCTGCACTTGCTGTATTCGCGCTTCGTGACCAAGTTCATGTGCGACCAAGGGTTCCTGGCGACGGACGAGCCGTTCGCGCAGCTTCTCGCTCAGGGCATGGTTCTTGGACGCACGCACAAGTCCCCTGGCTCGCTGCGACCGCTTGCTCCTGGCGAGTACGAGGAGGTGACGACTGATGGACGTTCAGTCGTCGTAGAAAAGAAGAGCGGTCTGCCCGTGGTGACGCTGTGGGAAAAGATGTCCAAGTCGAAGCACAACGGTGTGGACCCGGAGCAGATTCGTGCACGTCATGGAGCCGACGTGACGCGCCTCGCGGTGCTCTTCAAGGCACCGCCAGCTCACGAGCTGGAGTGGGACGAGGCTGACCTCGCTGGTCAATCGCGCTGGCTGGCACGCATTTGGTCGCTGTTGGATGGTGCTTTGACGCACCGCGGTGAAGTTGGATCCGTTGCAGAGGAGGAAGAGGAGAAGGAGCTTCGACACGAGCTGCACGGCACGATCAAGCGTGTAACCGAGGCTCTGAATGACTATCAGTCGTTCAATGTTGCGATTGCCGAACTCATGAAGCTGTCCAACCTGCTCGGAGAGCGTCGCACGTTGCTTCAGGGCTCCGCCGTGTATGAGGAGGCTCTGCGGGCGCTGGTTCAGATGCTGGCACCGTTGGCGCCCCACACCGCAGCTGAAATGTTCCAGGTCCTGCAAGACGGTGACGAGGCAGCCGATGTGCATGCGTGTGCGTGGCCCGCGTATGACCCGGCTCTGTTGGAACGTGCTCAAGTCAAGGTGGTGCTGCAAGTGCAGGGCAAGCCGCGCGATACGATTCTCGTTGATCCTGCCCTGCTGGATGCCCGAGACTCGGAAGCCGTGCTGGCGCTGGCACTAGCCTCCCCAGCTGTGCAACGCCATTTGCAGGGCCGCGACGTGCGCAAGGCCATTCTCGTTTCCCCCAAGAAGCAGGGAGCGCATGGACTGCTGAACATTGTGGCAATGTAGACGCGTTCTGTTGCCGCACTGCGGTGAGACTGCTAGTTAGTTGTGTTGGATGGGCAAACGACATTCATCGACGAATATACCGTGAGAGATCCTTCCAACATACTTTTCTCCGTACTTTAACTTAGTAATTCGATCACAGGGTAGCGCTACATCCTATCGACGGGATGAAAGTCCCTGTTCATCTTGCCGACAAGCACAAGCCGTGGAAGACACCATCGTGTAAATGCAAAATATGTATATATATTCATTGTTTTATTGTTTTTCATGCAAACATGCACCTCATAGAATATGCAGGACCTCTTTCAGTCCATCTTAGTACGTCGTCAAGTCGATTTTCTTCCACACCGCTCCGCCTCCACAGAAGTAGATCGCATTCGTATCATACCGAAGCGTTCCAGTGGTGCACGTACCGCCTCCCGTTGGAACGGTTGTAGTAACGCTACCATCGAAAATGACATCACCACCAGTCAACTTCAGATTGGGCGACGAAAGCGTCAGTACGTTCGACGACCCGGTTTGTGAGTGGACGATCGCAGCCTGCGCAGCACTCATCGTGAGTTGTCCGAGGACATTCATCGCGAGGGCTTTCACGACGCTTCCTGTCACGTCCACATACAAAACGTCTGTCGATGCGTCCTTGGACACGCGGAAGTCGTGCGAGTCCACATGAAGCAGACCGCCCGAAACAGTCGTCGCCGTTCCGGCGGTAATTACGACTGCCGATGCCGAGGTCAGACTAATCGTAGACGTTGTGGAGCTGAAGGCCACAGCAGAACTACTGCCCGTAAGCTGAGTGCTCGTAACCTTGAGAATGTCCGCTGCACCTGCAGTGGCCTTCTTCACGTAAAATCCGCCATCATTCACTGCCGTCGATCCTGCACCGATATAAGCATACACGGAGCCGCCTGTGCCGGACGTACCGGCGCCAGCCGTCAGATCGACCGAGCCACCAATGCCAGACGCCGCAGTGGTTGGACCAGCCGCTATTGATACAGCTCCGCCGTTGCCAGTGTTTCCTCCTCCAACCGACAAGGCAACTGGTCCTCCCACTCCGCCTACGATGGCGCCACCGGTACTCAGCGTGATGCCGCCGCTATTGGCACTAGTCGATGTGCCAGTGGACAATGTAATCGAACCACTTGAAGCCCCCGAAGCGCCTGTGCTAGTCGTCAGCGATATGGCGCCTCCTGCTGCACCAGTGCTCTGGCCACTCGTTAGCATAACATCGCCTCCGTTTGCTGAGGTTCCACCGCCGCCGTTGATATTAACGCAGCCGCCAGAGGTACTTCCACTGCCGCCATTGATGTTAACACTGCCGCCAGATGTGCTTCCTCCTCCACCACTGAGTGAAGCAGTCCCACCGATCCCAGCTGTAGTCGATCCTGCTGAGGCTGTCCAGCTTCCGCCTAAACTGGCCTTGCCGGGTCCAACTGACAGTGTCATACTGCCAGCAAGTCCATTCGTCGATATGCCCGTGGACAATGTCAAATCTCCCGTGGGCCCAGACGCTGTTCCAGAGCCCAAGGAAACATCTCCACTACCGCCAGTCCCACCGGTGGCTGACACAATTTCAAGTAGCCCACTGGAGCTGCTCGTACTCGAACCGCTAGTGATCACAACGTCACCACCGTTACCTGTCGAACCGGAGCCGCCAGTGAGTGTTGCCTTGCCTCCAATCGCTCCTCCTCCTGCGGTCATAGTAGCATCACCACCAGTTCCGCCTGTGCTCTGACCAGCAGAGAGGTCCAAGCCTCCACCAACACCAGTCGTACCAGCGCCAACGGATACGGATATCGCTCCGGCCGTCCCGCTGAAAGTGGCTCCCGACCTGATCGAGATAGCTCCGCTGTTTCCGGACGTAGCTGTTCCCGTCTGTACCCAGAGAGCGCCACTTGCACCAGGCACTGTCTTGGTAGCAGACGCAATAGTAACATCTCCACTTGCTGCGGATGATGAACTAGTGCCACTTGAGAGGGAAATAGACCCACCCGTTCCGCCGCTGCTAGTGCCAGCTTGGACCACGATGGCTCCTCCACCAGCGCCACCATTGCCAGATGAAATTGACACTTGGCCACCCACTGCTGCTGTTGCGGTGGCTGTCCCAGATGCCATTGTCAGCGCCCCTCCAGCTCCGACAGACCCAGAGCCAACTTGGATCAGTATGTCGCCACCAGTGCCACCGACAGCATTACCTGTGGATAGAGTTAGAGATCCCGAACTACCGGCCCCGGTAGTACCAGAGGCCAATTGCACGTTACCACTGACACCATTGGTGCCCCCGTTCGCGCTCAGGATATCAATTTTTCCTGAGCTTTTGGTGGCCCCCGTTCCACTCACTAGCGAGATGAGCCCACCTGTCGCCGAAGTTGAATCACCAGAAGCCAGTGTGATACCGCCACCGATGCCGGCACCTGCAGTCGAATCCGATGCAGCACCGCCAACTAACGAGATGCCACCGCCGTTCCCGACAGAACCTGGTCCGACTGACAAACTGATCGAACCTCCAGCGCCACCAGCAGTAGAAGCACCCGTAGACAAGCCAATTGGGCCGCTAGACCCTGCATTAGCAGGACCCGATCGAATCGTAACAGCACCGCTCGAGCTTGTGGCTGTAGTTGTGCTAATCATCGAGCCTGTAGTCAGTAGTAAAGATCCGCTAGCACCGTTCGTTGCTTTCCCACTCGCGATCGAAACTGCGCCACCAGCGCTGCCTCCGGCACCACCGGTGAGCTCCACAGCGCCGCCAGAGCTGCCACCACTACCGCCAGACACGGACACTTTACCTCCACCACCAGAGCTATCGCTCGTCAAACCGCCCTTGATAGACACAGCACCGCCGACTCCTCCGGTGCCTGTTCCGTCCCCACCAGCTACAGTCACCAGTCCACTTACACCTCCCGTGCTCGCTCCGGATGCCATTGTTACTGCTCCGGACACTCCAGCACTACTTGTACCAGAGCCTACTGTCACTTGGCCAGATATTCCGCTGCTTGCCGATCGCAAGTAGATTTCACCACTATTCGACAGTGATGACGACCCACTCGAAATGTCAACCTGTCCACCAGCACTCGCAGCAGTGGTCCCACCAGCAGCAACTTTAATTCCGCCGCCAATTCCAGTTACGCCGTTACCAGCAGAGACTGTAATCGAACCACCAGCGCCACCAGTAGTGGACACGCCTGTCAACAAACTGATTGAGCCACTGGACCCGGAATTCGCAGGCCCGGAGGCTATCTTGATATCACCACTCAAGCTCGTCGCTGCAGCTAGGTCAATCAATGAACCAGTGCTCAGTGTTATACCTCCACTCATACCACTCAATGCTTTGCCGCTCGCAATTGATACTGCACCACCTGCACTGCCTCCAACACCACCAGTAAGCTCCACAGCGCCTCCGTTGCTCAAACTACCGCCGATACCGCCAGACACAGACACTTTACCACCACCACCAGAGCTATCGCTCGTCAAACCGCCCTTGATAGACACAGCACCGCCGACTCCTCCGGTGCCTGTTCCGTCCCCACCAGCTACAGTCACCAGTCCACTTACACCTCCCGTGCTCGCTCCGGATGCCAATGTTACTGCTCCGGACACTCCAGCACTACTTGTACCAGAGCTAACAGCCACCATACCCGAGATACCACCAGTTGCTGAACGCAAGTAGACTTCGCCGCTATTCGATAGTGATGATGGGCCACTTAAAATGTCAACCTTTCCACCCGAGCTCGCAGCCGTAGTCCCGCCAGCAGTAAGTTCAATCCCACCACCTGCTCCAGTTACACCGTTTCCAACAGAAAGGGTAATAGAACCACCAGCACCACTGGCAGTAGAAGTACCTGTCGACAAACCGATCGGGCCACTCGACCCTAAATTCGCAGGTCCAGATCGAATCGTTATGGCACCGCTGGAGCCTGTAGCTGAAGTCAAAGATCCCGTTGTAAACAACATAGATCCAGTAGTACCACTCGCTGCCCCACCAGTTGCGACCGACACTGAACCACCAGTACTGTCTCCAGCGCCACCTGTGAGCTCAAGCGCGCCACCTGTACCAATGCTGTTACCAGCTCCGCCCGAAATTGTGACCTTGCCACCAACGCCCGATGCATCGTTGGTCAACCCGCCCTTGATCGACACAGGACCTCCGACTCCACCACTTCCTATTCCGTCTCCACCAGTAACAGTCACCAATCCACTTGCACCACCCGTGCTCCTGCCAGACGCCAATATCACTGGTCCAGACACTCCTGCACTGCTGTCACCAGAACTCACACTCACGGCACCTGAGGTACCACCACCACGCGATCTAGCTACTACGGACCCACTGGCATATCCAGGACCGCCGCCACCACTAGTAACGTCAACAGTTCCGCCCGATAAATCTGAGCTGCTCCCTGCCGTGAGCGACACCTTGCCGCCGTTGCCGACCGAGCCGTCGCCCACGCTCACCACTACAGACCCGCCGCTGCCGCCCGTGCTCGCGCCGCTGCTCAGCAAGAGGCTGCCCGAAGACCCGGCAGCCGCGTTCCCGCTACTGAAGCTCAGCACGCCAGAACGACCGGCAGTGCCGCCCGTCGCCGTGCCCAGCGAAATGGACCCGCTCGTGCTGCCCACGCTGCGGCCGCTCAAGACACTCACCGAGCCGCCCGTGCCGCTCGTCGAAGACGACACCGCCGTCGAGTCGCCTGCCCACAGCGAGATGGCGCCACCGGACAACGCGTCTCCAGCGCCCACCGACAGCGAGATCGACCCGCCGTGGCCGCCCGTCGACACGCCCGTGCTCACGCTCACCGATCCGCTGTCGCCCTCGCGACTAGTACCGCTCGATAGACGCAGACTGCCGCTCACGCCGCTGCTGCTCGCCGAGCTCGGAGTCGTCAGCGAGATGTCGCCGCTGGACGTCGTCAGGCCCGCGCCGCTCTGCAGCGAGATCGACCCGCCACTCGCCACGCCACTGCCGCCGCTCAACGAAATCGAGCCGCCCACTGTGCCCGTGGTGGTATGCGTGTTGCCCGACCGCAGCGAGATAGACCCGCCAGCACCACTGCTGCCCGTGCCCACACTGAGCAGCACGGACCCGCCGTTGCCGCCGGTGCTGCCGCCAGTGCTCACCGTCACGTCGCCCACCGTGCCCGCCGTCGCAGAGCCCGTCTCCAGGCGCACCAACCCAGACGGACCGCTCGAGCTGCCGTCCGGTGTGCGCACCAGCACGCTGCCACTCGTGAAGCTGCTGCTCGCGCCGCTAGATATCTCCACAGCGCCGCCCACACCACTGCTCGCGGTGCCAGCAACGCCGCCACTCGTACTGCCAGCAGTCAGCGACACCTTGCCACCCGCTCCGGTGTTGCCACCACCCACGGACAGCTCGATGTTGCCTCCCCTGCCGCCAGTCGCCGCACCCGTCGACACACGAACCGACCCGCTCGACGACGACGAGGACGCGCCGCTCGCCACAGACAAAGCCCCGCTCGCGCCGGACGTAGCACTCCACAGCGACACGTCACCGCTCGGAGAGCTCGTCCCTGCCGAAGCACCGCTGATCACGCTGATGGATCCGCCTGTCAGCGCGCCTTGGCCGCCGAACAGCTCGACCGAGCCGCCGCTGGAGCCTGTCGTACTGGCCGAGCTCAGGCCGGCCGTGAGCGACACCTTGCCGCCGTTGCCGACCGAGCCGTCTCCCACGCTCACCACCACAGACCCGCCGCTGCCGCCCGTGCTCGCGCCGCTGCTCAGCAAGAGGCTGCCCGAAGACCCGGCAGCCGCGTTCCCGCTACTGAAGCTCAGCACGCCAGAACGACCGGCAGTGCCGCCCGTCGCCGTGCCCAGCGAAATGGACCCGCTCGTGCTGCCCACGCTGCGGCCGCTCAAGACACTCACCGAGCCGCCCGTGCCGCTCGTCGAAGACGACACCGCCGTCGAGTCGCCTGCCCACAACGAGATGGCGCCACCGGACAACGCGTCTCCAGCGCCCACCGACAGCGAGATCGACCCGCCGTGGCCGCCCGTCGACACGCCCGTGCTCACGCTCACCGATCCGCTGTCGCCCTCGCGACTAGTGCCGCTCGATAGACGCAGACTGCCGCTCACGCCGCTGCTGCTCGCCGAGCTCGGAGTCGTCAGCGAGATGTCGCCGCTGGACGTCGTCAGGCCCGCGCCGCTCTGCAGCGAGATCGACCCGCCACTCGCCACGCCGCTGCCGCCGCTCAACGAAATCGAGCCGCCCACTGTGCCCGTGGTGGTATGCGTGTTGCCCGACCGCAGCGAGATAGACCCGCCAGCACCACTGCTGCCCGTGCCCACACTGAGCAGCACGGACCCGCCGTTGCCGCCGGTGCTGCCGCCAGTGCTCACCGTCACGTCGCCCACCGTGCCCGCCGTCGCAGAGCCCGTCTCCAGGCGCACCAACCCAGACGGACCGCTCGAGCTGCCGTCCGGTGTGCGCACCAGCACGCTGCCACTCGTGAAGCTGCTGCTCGCGCCGCTAGATATCTCCACAGCGCCGCCCACACCACTGCTCGCGGTGCCAGCAACGCCGCCACTCGTACTGCCAGCAGTCAGCGACACCTTGCCACCCGCTCCGGTGTTGCCACCACCCACGGACAGCTCGATGTTGCCTCCCCTGCCGCCAGTCGCCGCACCCGTCGACACACGAACCGACCCGCTCGACGACGACGAGGACGCGCCGCTCGCCACAGACAAAGCCCCACTCGTCGACGACGAGGACGCGCCGCTCGCCACAGACAAAGCCCCGCTCGCGCCGGACGTAGCACTCCACAGCGACACGTCACCGCTCGGAGAGCTCGTCCCTGCCGAAGCACCGCTGATCACGCTGATGGATCCGCCCGTCAGCGCGCCTTGGCCGCCGAACAGCTCGACCGAGCCGCCGCTGGAGCCTGTCGTACTGGCCGAGCTCAGGCCGGCCGTGAGCGACACCTTGCCGCCGTTGCCGACCGAGCCGTCGCCCACGCTCACCACTACAGACCCGCCGCTGCCGCCCGTGCTCGCGCCGCTGCTCAGCAAGAGGCTGCCCGAAGACCCGGCAGCCGCGTTCCCGCTACTGAAGCTCAGCACGCCAGAACGACCGGCAGTGCCGCCCGTCGCCGTGCCCAGCGAAATGGACCCGCTCGTGCTGCCCACGCTGCGGCCGCTCAAGACACTCACCGAGCCGCCCGTGCCGCTCGTCGAAGACGACACCGCCGTCGAGTCGCCTGCCCACAGCGAGATGGCACCACCGGACAACGCGTCTCCAGCGCCCACCGACAGCGAGATCGACCCGCCGTGGCCGCCCGTCGACACGCCCGTGCTCACGCTCACCGATCCGCTGTCGCCCTCGCGACTAGTACCGCTCGATAGACGCAGACTGCCGCTCACGCCGCTGCTGCTCGCCGAGCTCGGAGTCGTCAGCGAGATGTCGCCGCTGGACGTCGTCAGGCCCGCGCCGCTCTGCAGCGAGATCGACCCGCCACTCGCCACGCCGCTGCCGCCGCTCAACGAAATCGAGCCGCCCACTGTGCCCGTGGTGGTATGCGTGTTGCCCGACCGCAGCGAGATAGACCCGCCAGCACCACTGCTGCCCGTGCCCACACTGAGCAGCACGGACCCGCCGTTGCCGCCGGTGCTGCCGCCAGTGCTCACCGTCACGTCGCCCACCGTGCCCGCCGTCGCAGAGCCCGTCTCCAGGCGCACCAACCCAGACGGACCGCTCGAGCTGCCGTCCGGTGTGCGCACCAGCACGCTGCCACTCGTGAAGCTGCTGCTCGCGCCGCTAGATATCTCCACAGCGCCACCCACACCACTGCTCGCGGTGCCAGCAACGCCGCCACTCGTACTGCCAGCAGTCAGCGACACCTTGCCACCCGCTCCGGTGTTGCCACCACCCACGGACAGCTCGATGTTGCCTCCCCTGCCGCCAGTCGCCGCACCCGTCGACACACGAACCGACCCGCTCGACGACGACGAGGACGCGCCGCTCGCCACAGACAAAGCCCCGCTCGCGCCGGACGTAGCACTCCACAGCGACACGTCACCGCTCGGAGAGCTCGTCCCTGCCGAAGCACCGCTGATCACGCTGATGGATCCGCCTGTCAGCGCGCCTTGGCCGCCGAACAGCTCGACCGAGCCGCCGCTGGAGCCTGTCGTACTGGCCGAGCTCAGGCCGGCCGTGAGCGACACCTTGCCGCCGTTACCGACCGAGCCGTCGCCCACGCTCACCACCACAGACCCGCCGCTGCCGCCCGTGCTCGCGCCGCTGCTCAGCAAGAGGCTGCCCGAAGACCCGGCAGCCGCGTTCCCGCTACTGAAGCTCAGCACGCCAGAACGACCGGCAGTGCCGCCCGTCGCCGTGCCCAGCGAAATGGACCCGCTCGTGCTGCCCACGCTGCGGCCGCTCAAGACACTCACCGAGCCGCCCGTGCCGCTCGTCGAAGACGACACCGCCGTCGAGTCGCCTGCCCACAGCGAGATGGCGCCACCGGACAACGCGTCTCCAGCGCCCACCGACAGCGAGATCGACCCGCCGTGGCCGCCCGTCGACACGCCCGTGCTCACGCTCACCGATCCGCTGTCGCCCTCGCGACTAGTACCGCTCGATAGACGCAGACTGCCGCTCACGCCGCTGCTGCTCGCCGAGCTCGGAGTCGTCAGCGAGATGTCGCCGCTGGACGTCGTCAGGCCCGCGCCGCTCTGCAGCGAGATCGACCCGCCACTCGCCACGCCGCTGCCACCGCTCAACGAAATCGAGCCGCCCACTGTGCCCGTGGTGGTATGCGTGTTGCCCGATCGCAGCAAGATAGACCCGCCAGCACCACTGCTGCCCGTGCCCACACTGAGCAGCACGGACCCGCCGTTGCCGCCGGTGCTGCCGCCAGTGCTCACCGTCACGTCGCCCACCGTGCCCGCCGTCGCAGAGCCCGTCTCCAGGCGCACCAACCCAGACGGACCGCTCGAGCTGCCGTCCGGTGTGCGCACCAGCACGCTGCCACTCGTGAAGCTGCTGCTCGCGCCGCTAGATATCTCCACAGCGCCGCCCACACCACTGCTCGCGGTGCCAGCAACGCCGCCACTCGTACTGCCAGCAGTCAGCGACACCTTGCCACCCGCTCCGGTGTTGCCACCACCCACAGACAGCTCGATGTTGCCTCCCCTGCCGCCAGTCGCCGCACCCGTCGACACACGAACCGACCCGCTCGACGACGACGAGGACGCGCCGCTCGCCACAGACAAAGCCCCGCTCGCGCCGGACGTAGCACTCCACAGCGACACGTCACCGCTCGGAGAGCTCGTCCCTGCCGAAGCACCGCTGATCACGCTGATGGATCCGCCTGTCAGCGCGCCTTGGCCGCCGAACAGCTCGACCGAGCCGCCGCTGGAGCCTGTCGTACTGGCCGAGCTCAGGCCGGCCGTGAGCGACACCTTGCCGCCGTTACCGACCGAGCCGTCGCCCACGCTCACCACCACAGACCCGCCGCTGCCGCCCGTGCTCGCGCCGCTGCTCAGCAAGAGGCTGCCCGAAGACCCGGCAGCCGCGTTCCCGCTACTGAAGCTCAGCACGCCAGAACGACCGGCAGTGCCGCCCGTCGCCGTGCCCAGCGAAATGGACCCGCTCGTGCTGCCCACGCTGCGGCCGCTCAAGACACTCACCGAGCCGCCCGTGCCGCTCGTCGAAGACGACACCGCCGTCGAGTCGCCTGCCCACAGCGAGATGGCGCCACCGGACAACGCGTCTCCAGCGCCCACCGACAGCGAGATCGACCCGCCGTGGCCGCCCGTCGACACGCCCGTGCTCACGCTCACCGATCCGCTGTCGCCCTCGCGACTAGTACCGCTCGATAGACGCAGACTGCCGCTCACGCCGCTGCTGCTCGCCGAGCTCGGAGTCGTCAGCGAGATGTCGCCGCTGGACGTCGTCAGGCCCGCGCCGCTCTGCAGCGAGATCGACCCGCCACTCGCCACGCCGCTGCCACCGCTCAACGAAATCGAGCCGCCCACTGTGCCCGTGGTGGTATGCGTGTTGCCCGATCGCAGCGAGATAGACCCGCCAGCACCACTGCTGCCCGTGCCCACACTGAGCAGCACGGACCCGCCGTTGCCGCCGGTGCTGCCGCCAGTGCTCACCGTCACGTCGCCCACCGTGCCCGCCGTCGCAGAGCCCGTCTCCAGGCGCACCAACCCAGACGGACCGCTCGAGCTGCCGTCCGGTGTGCGCACCAGCACGCTGCCACTCGTGAAGCTGCTGCTCGCGCCGCTAGATATCTCCACAGCGCCGCCCACACCACTGCTTGCGGTGCCAGCAACGCCGCCACTCGTACTGCCAGCAGTCAGCGACACCTTGCCACCCGCTCCGGTGTTGCCACCACCCACGGACAGCTCGATGTTGCCTCCCCTGCCGCCAGTCGCCGCACCCGTCGACACACGAACCGACCCGCTCGACGACGACGAGGACGCGCCGCTCGCCACAGACAAAGCCCCGCTCGCGCCGGACGTAGCACTCCACAGCGACACGTCACCGCTCGGAGAGCTCGTCCCTGCCGAAGCACCGCTGATCACGCTGATGGATCCGCCTGTCAGCGCGCCTTGGCCGCCGAACAGCTCGACCGAGCCGCCGCTGGAGCCTGTCGTACTGGCCGAGCTCAGGCCGGCCGTGAGCGACACCTTGCCGCCGTTACCGACCGAGCCGTCGCCCACGCTCACCACCACAGACCCGCCGCTGCCGCCCGTGCTCGCGCCGCTGCTCAGCAAGAGGCTGCCCGAAG